TCAACGCGCACGCACACCAGCACCAGCAAACACACAAGCCAACGCCAGCGCACGCACACGCCAGCGCCAGCGCTCACGCACGCCAGCGCAAGCGCGTACGCACGCCAGCGCACGCACGCATGCCCGCCAGCCCGCCCGCCAGCTAGCCAGCGCGCCCTGCTTACCTGCCCGCCAGCGTGAGCCTTGCCTTGCTCCGCCCGCCGACACGCGCCCTGCCTGCCTGCCCGCACCCTTGCGCCAGTGCCAGCAGCGGGCTCACCAGCAGTACGTGCACCTGCAGAGCGCCATAAAGCGAAACCCTAAACTAACAGCGTGCCACCAGAGGACTTCCTAACTACGGCAGGTCCTACCATTGTTCCTAGCCCACTGCGCAACTGTCGCTTAGTCCCCGCTAGCCGTCGCCAAGTCGTCCAACGAAGTCCTGCGCTTCGACGTTGAAGGCCGCGCGACATATTTTAGCATATGAATGTTGCACACCGAGCTTCACATCCAGAGGCAGCGTCTGGACGGTGACACTCTGTTTGGCCACACGTTGGGTGATCTACCTGCCGAAACCCTCCGCGTCCCTCCCCGCTTCTGACTGAAGCAAATGCGGCGGACCGGGAGACCTTTGCTGCGCGGCGCACGGAACACTCGGTGTGGCAGTCAGGCGACGCTGCTGCTCGCCTTGCTCTTAGTCGCCTCTTTCGGACGGCCGAGTGCGTCCACTTCAGCGAGGTCACGTCAACGAATAATTGTTTTGACACTATCGTTTCTCGCTATTCCACTCCTTCCTCTGCTACCCTAGGACACCTCCTAATTCCGTTCTTCTTCCCAGACCTTGTTGCGTTTTCCACTACTGCAGGCCTAGTCACTCACCTACCTGCACCGCTGCCCAGCTTGCTAGCCACCCCCCGCCTTTGTTTGCCACCCTCTATTTCATCGTCACACGTCTCCCTGACCACCTCTCGTCTGCACGCGGCGCTCTCCTCGCCAGGCACAACAGTAATCTTACTATCGATCTCATTGAGACCACTCTCAATGAGATCAAGGGTAACATCCGCTCCATCGCCTCCACTACTGCTGAAGTAGTCCCCCGTCTCATTGAGGGGTGCGCTCTACCCCAGCTCCCCACCTGCACTGCTTTTCTTGCTGCTGCTGAGCCGTCTGCTACTGAGGAGAATGTAATGCGCAACACAGATTCCACGGTTCGTCGACACCTCCGCACGCCGGTCCACGGAAGAGCACCCGAGTAATGCTGGGAGTGGATTCACCCTTTATCTCCCTGCAAGACCCGAGGCTCGTCCGCGTTCGCGACGCTCGTGGCAAGCTGAACCCGAGAAGAGCCCGCGGTGCCACCCGCGTGCCCGTCCCTTGTTCGCCTGCCGTCATCTCTTCCCATTTTCGGCCCATAGCCTCTGGCGGAAGGCTCCGGGCCTCAATCCCGGGTACCCAAAGCTGGGTGTGATGGATTGGCCCCAAGGTGGCAGCCATCCCTCGGTTTCTCCCATGTGCCGCGGCGGCCCGCCCGCGGCGAGACGGCAACGCCAACCGCACAAGGCGGCTGTGTTCCGTCCCTCCCTCCAGGCCGAGGTCCCTGCTCGGCCCCGTTAAAAACGAGGCTTCACTGTCCCTCAATCGACCTGGTTTGCCTCCGGCCCGAGAGGCACCATCTCCCCCTCGCACCTTGTATTCCGATTGAAAGGTTTTGGAGGGTTTGGGATGCCCCCGATGTTTCTCCCCGTCAATTCGCGAGAGGTGTGTGTGACCTTCTTCCATATAATTCTGAAAAAATCGTTAACTATCCTATGAAAACGTTTGCCCTAGGGTACCCGAGGTGATATTAACTCTGGTTAAAGTAACGCGAAATATCCAAATATACAAAGATCACGGTTCTGAAATTTGGACACCCTCGAAGTTTGGATTGGACACTTTGTTAGCAATGTGCACTATGGGCTTTCCATGCTCCAACATATGGACTTTATATGGAAACTTGTGTGGTGAGGTGACCGATGACCAGGTGTTTTTACACGTCACTGAGGTCCATTTTGGGCTGATGGTGTCTTCACTTTGGTCTGGCTGGAACCGCGACCTGAGACATTCTGCAAAGGACGATGGTCTGGTCTGGGGACCGACATGGAGTGGCAAGGCGTGTCATTCATTGCTGTTCCCGCAGCGCTGACCGAATCCATTCCTCCCTGCATCAAATAAAGTATAATGTCGACGTGTCTGTGCGATCCGCAGACATTCGTGCCACGTTGCCTTATCAACAGGGTGGACGCGAAGTTTCGCTGTGTTTTTCTCTGGCTGATCGAGTGTGGAGTGTTTGTTCGCGAGCTGACCGTCGCAAATCCGACGTGTATAACTAAGTGCACCACCGCTGGCTTCGTCAGTGGACACCCCGAGTAAGAGACAGTTTCCAGGGGATGCACTGTAGTTGTAGTTTCCAATATCGTCAGTGGAGACACCCCCGAGCTCTAGATGTTGTGCCCCCAAAGTTGTCCTCCCGCTATTTGCCCAGTGGGGCCGCGGCGCCACCTAAGACACTCGCGTTGACAGTTATCAACCATCAATGCTCCTTTCCCCGTGGCAGCATTGCTCCTCCTCTGCTGATGACGTCGTTTCGAAGCACCATGCCAGACTCGAATGTGGGAGGGAATGTGTGGGAGTAAGGGGAAGGAGGGAGGGGGGGAGAAGGGCAGGCGGGGAGGAGGGGAGGGGGTGTAACGACTGCGGGCTTCCGCGAAGGCTAGTACCGCTGTGCCTACATGTAAAACCCCGTTTTGGTCCAGTGGCCTAGAGGGGCGTTGTCGGGTGTGCGTACGTACGTGCCCTTTCAAACAAAGAGTTGCCTTTCATGTCCTTTCCGTTTCCTTGCCCCCCACCCCCCTCCCCGCAGTCGGTCCGTCAGATCGGCCTTTTGCCGCCGAAGCGTGTTGCGCCGCATTCGGTTCCACGTTACTGTCCGTCAGATCGTCTTTCGCCGCATCGCTGTTACCTGGTATCTGTGGTTCGCCAATTCAGTGGTGTGAGTGATCAACCTATCAGAGTCTTTGTCCCCCCACAGGATATATAGTAGTACTGTACAGGTTGACGACATGACACGACATGTCGCATAGCAACTGTACTGTACCGTACTGTATCCGCTGCGGTATGCCCATGGCAAGATGATTGGTCAAACCACATTCACCTGTGGCTCCACTCCACAGCCAATGGCGAACTAGTAGAGCTGGACTGCACAAAGCGTATCGCGTCGCGAACCGATGCTGCCTTGGTTTGCGGAGTGGCGTCGGGTCGGGAAGCTCTCCCAAATATCTCCCGTCACCTCGCCTCACCTCACCATCACTTATCACCTCATCGCATCAGATACGGTCATGGTTTCGAGATGGTCGAGTGAATCGTGACCGTGAATCGTGATCGTGAATCGTGATCGTCAATCACGATCCATCATCCATTCCTCCTGAGTTCAAAGCCAATCAATTCCCCCCTCCTCCGCCTCCACCCTCCCACCAACCTTTTTGGTATATGGTAGCACAACAAAGTGAGGTGATTCCATGCCGAGTAGCGTAGGGTGTGGGGTAGGGAAGGACAGGAGACATGCAGCAAACAGCACTGTCCTACTGTCCATCAAGCCCAAGTCCATTCACGCGCGGCGCCCCAAGACCATCACCCACCACACGCTCATCCTGACTCAGGATAAAAAAATCAGAATCGACTCGAATCGAGACTTGATATTTCCCCCAACCGGGGAGGCATGGGGAGGCTGGGAGGAAGGAGAGAGAGCGCGAACAGTGGCTGTCCCAGCTTCCCACCCACCCGACCAACCCGAACTGGACCCAACCAACTTGGTTCAAGTTGAACCACCCACCACCGTTCTTACGCGTACTGTACAAGTCCTCCGGGGACAGACTCGTACAGCAGGGCCGACCAGACAACAAGTCCCTTCCGCCAACCCGCACCCCCCTTCCGCCCACCCCCCCGCTCCGGCCTGGGGGGATCCTTATCCACCACCACTGGTGGCACCAGTGGCGGAATACGGAGCGGATGGGGTGGGCGGAAGCGGGAGGGGGGAGGGGAGCGGGGGGGGAGGGGAAGGGGGCGACTCTCTTTTCCGACTGCCCCTGTAACACGTGTGGATTCTGGTCTGGTCTGGTCTGGTGTGGTCTGAACCCGCGTGTTTGGCATAGGGTAGGAGTAGGAACACTCGTGTCTGGTCTGGCCTCTGGACTTTGGACTGGGGGCGGGGGTATCAATCAAGCAGGCAGGGGCAGTGGATACCCTGAGGGTAGGTATCATGCGGGATTATGCTCTGTGAGCCCTCATTCTTGGGTCCTCCCTCGTCACCGTGCTGCTCGCTGCTCCGCTCTCCCTTCTCCACCCACCCCCCACCGCTGCATGCATTGCTAATAGAGCTGCCGCTTGGAGCCGTCTCAGTGGTTCTAATCCTGTCCTTTCAGTGCTAGTTCTGCATTTGATAGTGCTTTGAGCCCTCGTGCTCTCTGCCCGGCTGCTCCCTCGAGTACTAGTGAGTAGCTTGACCTTCCCTTGACTCGGATTCAAAGGAGTACCAGCCACTGCTGCCACTGCTGCCACTGCTGCCACTGCAGCCACTGCTGCCACTGCTGCCACTGCAGCCACTGCTGCCACTGCAGCCACTGCTGCCACTGCAGCCACTGCTGCCACTGCTGCCACTGCTGCCACTGCAGCCACTGCTGCCACTGCAGCCACCGCTAGTACCACTCTGATTCCTGCTACCGGAACTCAGCTGGGCATACAGAACAGAGGCGGCTATAGTACCCCGGCTCAAGGTTTTTGAGAACGTCCGTCCATCTGAACGAGCGCATTGCATTGCATTGCAAGCTCAGAGCCGCCTGCCGTGGGGAGGAACCGCCCATTCACCAGCAGCTGCAGCACCAGCAGCACCATTCACCAGCAGCAGCACCAGCAGCACCATTCACCAGCAGCAGCACCATTCAGCAGCTGCAGCACCAGCAGCACCATTCAGCACCAGCACCAGCACCATGGGTCTCCTGGCGGACATCCTGCTGCATCCGGGCGAGCTGCTGCCGCTGCTGCGCGTGCGCAGGGAGGCCAAGGTGCTAGCAGCACAGACATACGAGGACGAGGACGTGGCGTTCTGCTACCGCATGCTCAACCGCCTCAGCAAGAGCTTCGCCTTCGTCATCCAGCAGCTGCCCGCCGCTGTCCGCCACGCTGTACGCCCGGCCCCCTCCTGCCCCTCCCGCCTCCCCCGCCTCTTCTGCCTCTCCCGCCCCTCCTGCCCCTCCTGCCCCTCCTGCCTCTCCTGCCCCTTCTACCTCTCCTGCCTCTTCTGCCCCTCCTGCATCTCCCGCCCCTCCTGCCCCTCCTGCCTCTTCTGCCCCTCCTGCCCCTTCTGCCCCTTCTGCCTCTTCTGCCCCTCTCCGCCCCCTCTTCCTCTCCTGCCCCTCCTGCCTGTCTCTTCTGCATCTCGTGCCTTTTCAATTGACTCAAATGCCTCCCTCTCTTCATCTTCACCACGGCCTGTGTTATGTCCCCCCTCGATCGTAACCGCTCCTTGTGCTTCCCCACCTCTCGCCTTCCTTCCCACGTCCCTTTACCCCCCCTTCTCTTTTCTCCCCCGCGGATCCCCTCTCCGCCCTTCCTCCCTCCCACTCTACCCTCCTCTTCCGCTCGCTCCTTCCCGCACCTCCCCAGTCCCCCCCCGTCCTCCCTCCCTCTATCTCACCCTCCTTCCCTCAATCCCTCCCCCTCGCTCCCACCGTGCTTTCGTCCCTCCTCCCCACCACCTACCTCTCCCCCTCCCTCTCTCGCTCGTCTCGCCTCACCCTCTCTCGCCTCACCCTCTCTCGCCTCACCCTGTGCGTGTGTGCCAGGTGTGCGTCTTCTACCTCGTCCTGCGCGCCCTCGACACCGTTGGTCAGCGCTCCTCCTGCCTCCTGCCTTCTGCCTCCTGCCTGCTGCCTGCTGCCTGCTGCCTGCTGCCTCCTACCTGACTGTCTGACTGACTGCCTGCCTGCCTAGTACCATTGCCACTGGATCGCTTTTGCGCTTCTCTCCTGCTCTTCATTCTCGTTTCCTCTGCTCTCATGCTTTGCTACCTCTCGCTCTCTTTCCCCTCCGGTCCCCTCCCGTCCCCTCCCCTCTCCTCTTCCCTTCCCCTCCCCTGCGTGCGCCATGCGGCCGGCACGAACAGACAACGACATGGGGGTGGGCAACGCAGAGAATATCCCAATCCTCATCGCCTCCCCATTCTCCCCTCCCATCCCCTCCCCTCCCTGCCCCCCCCCTTCTCTCCTCCCCCCGTCCGCTCCCCGGCGAGCAGAGGACGACATGGGGGTGGGCAACGCGGAGAAGATCCCAATCCTCATCGCCTTCCACGAGCATGTCACAGACCCCAACTGGACCTACGTCTGTGAGTGCTTCCGCCGCTTCCGCCGCTGCCACCACTGCTGCTGCTAGTGCAGCTGCCGCCGCCGCCGCTGCCACCACTGCTGCTGCTAGTGCAGCTGCCGCCGCCGCCGCTGCCACCACTGCTGCTGTCGTTGCCGCGGTTGCTGCCGTAGCTGCCGTTGCTGCCTCCCTTCCCGCTTGATCTTCGATTGCACCCCGCAATGACCGTTTCTTCCTCCTCCTGCCTTCCCTTGCCGGGGCCACTTCTGACCGCATCTGCGATGCGTCGCCACGTTGCAAGGCTTTCTAGGCGTGCTTATGTTGCTGCAGTTTGTATCAAGCCCTTGTCTGCATTGCAGCATTGCTCTGCAGCATCAACCGCGTATCCAGATGCCGTGGCGTGTGCTTCTTCTTGACCCATGGCTTATTTCGGTCAATTCTACGTCTTCCCCCGCCCGCTTGACCCGTCCGCTGTGTGTGTGTGTGTGTGTGTGTGTGTGTGAGTGTGTGTGTGTGTGTGTCTGTGTCTGTGTGTGTGTGTGTGCGCGTGCATGCGTGTGTGGCAGGCGGGACCAAGGACTTTCGGAAGCTAATGCAGCACCTGCACCACTTGCGCCGGGCACTCGAGAAACTCGACCCAAAGTAAGGAAGCGAGTATGGGAGCGAGTGAGTGAGAGGGGGGGCGTAATGGAGAGAGGGAGTGTGTGAGGGAGTGGGGCCGAGCACTAGCATTGTAAAAAACTGCCTGCCTGCCTGCCTGCCTTCATTTGGTCTGCTCCCGCAACGGTGCATGGTGCGATTTTTGTCTGCGTCCTCTTGTGCAAATCTAACTAACCACTCGTTTCCAAACTGCTCGTTCCCTCCCTCCCATGCCTGGCTGGCATGGCATGGCATGGCATGGCATGGCATGGCATGGCAGGTACCGCATGGTCATCCTGGACATCACCAAGCGCATGGGGGCGGGCATGGCCATGTACATCACCGCGGAGGTGCGCTTGAGTCGCTTTGAGAACGTTGTTTGAGCTGTCAACTTGAATGCGGGCATGGCCATGTTCATCACCGCGGAGGTAACTGCATGCCCGCCATGGCCATCACCACGGAGGTAAGCTTGAGCTATGCCCCATTTTGAGACGTCTCAAAGAAGCATGGCCCATGGGTCTCAAAATGTTACCTTGATCATTTCAAAGTGAGCTATGCCCCATCATGCACTTCAATCAAAGTGGCCATGCTGCTGCTTCAAAGTGCACTTCAAAGTGCGCATCACCATTTTGAGCCCCATCATGCACTTCAAAGTGCCGTTTCAGTTGTTCAAGGCGGGCCGGGGGCATGATGGGGCATAGCCATGGGCCCATGCATATGACTGCGGAGGTATGATGCGCCGGGCCACGTCATGCGATGCCATGCCACGTCATTTTACTCATTTGTCAGCGTCAGTCATGTCACTGCCCTTGCAATGCGTCTGGGTTTCCCCCACCATCCCAGGCACCCTCCTTCCCCTGGCCCCACCTGTGAAGCGGAGCAACACTACCAGGACTACTGTTACTACGTTGAGTTGAGACACTGCTTCTCGATGCTTCCTTTTACGTTCCTGTCACCATTGCAAACACCCTCCTTCCGCTTCTTCCCTCCTTCCCCTCCTTCCCTCGGCACCACAGGTGGAGACAGAGCAGCAGTACCAGGACTACTGCCACTACGTTGGGACACGGCTTTTCAACACTTCCTGCCACCATGTCAACCACCCTCCTTCCTCTTTCCCTTCCTCGCTCCCCTTCCCCTCCTTCCCCTCGGCACCACAGGTGGAGACAGAGCAGCAGTACCAGGACTACTGCCACTACGTGGCGGGGCTGGTGGGCATCGGGATGTCAGCCATCTTCCACCACTCGGGCCTCGAGCCTCTGGCAGACGAGGACCTGTCCAACACCATGGGACTCTTTCTGCAGGTGTGTGTGTGTGTGTGTGTGTGTGTGTGTGTGTGTGTGTGTGTGTGCGTGCGTGCACCACGCGTGCACCCTGCAGCGTGCCTAGAGCATTTTGAGGTGCCTTAACTGTGGACTCGACTCGAGCCCGCTGCGCTGACGAGGGCCTGTCCAACACCATGGGGGGGCTCTTCCTGCAGGTGCGTATGTGCACTGCACCACACGTGCTTTACGAGCATTTTGAGTGCGCCATGCGCCATGCACCATGCACCATGCATGTTGCGCCATGCGCCATGCATGTTGCGCCATGCACCATGCATGTTGCGCCATGCACCATGCATGTTGCGCCATGCGCCATGCACCATGCATGTTGCGCCATGCGCCATGCATGTTGAACGCCACTCACAAACAGTCTCTTCCTCTCCCCCCTCCCCTCCCCCTCCCCTCCATCATCCCATGGCCGTTTTCCTCACATGGCTCCATCCATGTGCCGTGGCATGGCATGGCATGGCATGGCATGGTATGGCATGGCATTTCGCAACACCTCGCACCATGACTCTGGATGGCATGACATGGCATGGCATGGCATGGCTGGGCATGACATGGCATGGCATGGCATGGCTGGGCATGACATGGCATGGCATGGCATGGCTGGGCATGACATGGCATGGCACTGCACACCACCGCACAGAACACCAACATCATCCGCGACTACCTGGAGGACATAGAGGAGGAGCCGGCCCCGCGCATGTTCTGGCCGCGCGCCATCTGGGGGAAATACTCTCAGCAGCTCGAGGTGAGCGGGGCGCACTTGCATTGCATGCAGTGCGCCGATTTCTTAGGCGCCTCAAAAGTTGTGTGGGGGGGGGAATACGCTGAGCAGCTGAAGGTGAGCGCACTCGTCGGGTGTTATGGAATGGAAACTTGTTAGTTTGAAGGAATTGAAGGCGTTTTGGCCCTGAGTTATCTGCGGGGAAATTTTCAGAGCAGCTAGAGGTATCGGGAGGCGAAGGGAGTCGAAGGTGGGGAGGAAGGTGGCAGGAAGGAAGCAGGGAAGCGAGGTTACTGTTCCAACCCAGCTTGTGTTTACAGTTTTTGTTCACACAATGGTGAACAATGGTGTCGTTTCACTTTCACACCATGCAACCCCAATTGCAGCAGTGCAGCAGCGCGGCAGTGCACATTGCAGCATCAGCACCAGCACCTTACGTTGCATCCCCCCCTCCCTCCCCCCCTTCCCCCTTTCTTGCAACCAGGACTTCAAGGACGTGGGGGCGAACGGCACAGCAGCAGTGCAGTGTCTGAACGACATGGTCACCATCGCCCTCTCGCACCAACTTCCCTCCCTTCGCTTTTGAGGTGCCTCAGAAGTATTTCCCCCCGTCCCCCTTCCCCCTTTCTTGCAACCAGGACTTCAAGGACGTGGGGGCGAACGGCACAGCAGCAGTGCAGTGTCTGAACGACATGGTCACCATCGCCCTCTCGCACGCGCCTCACTGCCTCTGCTTCCTCGCTCAAGTGCAAGACGCCCAGATCTTCAGATTCTGGGCCATTCCCCAGGTGACGCCCTCCCCAGGTGACGCCCTTCCTCGTGTAGTGCCGTTTTTTCGGGTGAGCCCGTCACGTGGTAGCGCCATTCCGGGGGTGATGACGGTGTGCCTTACACAACAGTTTCCCCATGCCACTCACCGTGACATGGTGTATTCTCCACAATCCCCAGATTCCCCAAGCGCTGTCGAGTCGAGTACAGCCAGTGCAAGGCTCGCCGCTGGGCCTGGTCACACCGAGTTTTGAGGCGTCTCAAAACCCGACCCTGGGCCTGGTCACATTGACGACTTGTCGTCTTGTTTTGCCCTCTTGCAGTATGTTCGTCTCTCAGACGCATATGTACGCATGCGTCTGTGTGTGCATGCTCCCCTGTCGCCCCATCCATCATCAGATGATGGACATGGCCACACTGACACTCTGCTACAACAACATCCAGGTCTTCCAAAAGGAGATAATTTGATTCGCCTCTAAACTCATGCATGTCTGTGTGTGCGTACCTGCTCCCCTGCCTGCTGGCCCATCAGATAATGGCCATGGCAACGCTCACGCTCTGCTACAACAACACCCAGGTCTTCCAAAAGGAGATCATTTGAGGCGCTTCAAAACTCATGCATGTCTGTGTGTGGGTACCTGCTCCCCTGCCTGCCCATCACCGGCCCATCACCGGCCCATCAGATCATGGCGATGGCAACGCTAACGCTCTGCTACAACAACATCCAGGTCTTCCAAAAGGAGGTCAAGCCCAGACTCGGTACGCACGCACGCACACTCACACACACGCCGCACATGATACATCACACACACGCCGCACATGATACATCACACACACGCCGCACATGATACATCACACACACGCCGCACATGATACATCACTCACACGCCGCACATGATACATCACTCACACGCCGCACATGATACATCACTCACACGCCGCACATGATACATCACTCACACGCCGCACATGATACATCACTCACACGCCGCACATGATACATCACTCACACGCCGCACATGATACATCACTCACACGCCGCACATGATACATCACTCACACGCCGCACATGATACATCACTCACACGCCGCACATGATACATCACTCACACGCCGCACATGATACATCACTCACACGCCGCACATGATACATCACTCACACGCCGCACATGATACATCACTCACACGCCGCACATGATACATCACTCACACGCCGCACATGATACATCACTCACACGCCGCACATGATACATCACTCACACGCCGCACATGATACATCACTCACACGCCGCACATGATACATCACTCACACGCCGCACATGATACATCACTCACACGCCGCACATGATACATCACTCACACGCCGCACATGATACATCACTCACACGCCGCACATGATACATCACTCACACGCCGCACATGATACATCACTCACACGCCGCACATGATACATCACTCACACGCCGCACATGATACATCACTCACACGCCGCACATGATACATCACTCACACGCCGCACATGATACATCACTCACACGCCGCACATGATACATCACTCACACGCCGCACATGATACATCACTCACACGCCGCACATGATACATCACTCACACGCCGCACATGATACATCACTCACACGCCGCACATGATACATCACTCACACGCCGCACATGATACATCACTCACACGCCGCACATGATACATCACTCACACGCCGCACATGATACATCACTCACACGCCGCACATGATACATCACTCACACGCCGCACATGATACATCACTCACACGCCGCACATGATACATCACTCACACGCCGCACATGATACATCACTCACACGCCGCACATGATACATCACTCACACGCCGCACATGATACATCACTCACACGCCGCACATGATACATCACTCACACGCCGCACATGATACATCACTCAACACGCCGCACATGATACATCACTCACACGCCGCACATGATACATCACTCACATGCCGCACATGATACATCACTCACACGCCGCACATGATACATCACTCACACGCCGCACATGATACATCACTCCACACGCCGCACATGATACATCACTCACACGCCGCATATGATACATCACTCACACGCCGCACATGATACATCACTCACACGCCGCACATGATACATCACTCACACGCCGCACATGATACATCACTCACACGCCGCACATGATACATCACTCACACGCCGCACATGATACATCATTCACACGCCGCACATGATACATCACTCACACGCCGCACATGATACATCACTCACACGCCGCACATGATACATCATTCACACGCCGCACATGATACATCACTCACACGCCGCACATGATACATCACTCACACGCCGCACATGATACATCACTCACACGCCGCACATGATACATCACTCACACGCCGCACATCACCACCTGCATGTCAAACTGTCACACTGTTCGCGCACTCTTTTCCGGCCAACTCTCCCACCACCTTAGGCTACTGTATGTGTACTACTGGTCTCGTGCTCTTTACTGTAGTTAGAACTACTTCAGTGGATCGCGAGGTGATGCATGGACTGAAGGGTGGGAAAGGCGGCGGTGTGCTGAAAGCTGGTGTTAAGTTGAAACAGCCAAGATTTCTTGTTTAGGCATGATGTGAGCTGACTAGTCGTGCCAGATCATGCACTGCTTTCGCCCCGTCGCCCTACCCTCACTGTTCCTCTGCTCCTATCTTTCCCTGCCAAGGTGATGGTCCATGTGTGGAGCATTGCAAATGCACCTCCTTACTCACACTCAACCCTCATTCTCCTCAATACTCCCTGCAACACTCGCTCTCACTCGCTCTCTCTCACCGTCCTGCTCCTCTTTGCAGGTCTAGCTGCCAGGGTGATGGACCAGACGTGGAGCATGGCAGATGTGCGGGCCTTCTTTCACGCCTTCGCATTGGAGCTCCTTGCAAAGGTCTGTGCGTGTATCATACCTAGTCTGCCACCTACCTGCCACCTACCTGCCTGTCGTTCCGCAGGTGGGTCGTCTGGCAGGCACCTAGCTGCACCGGACACTCAACTGCCAGTCGTGACTTTTGAGTTGACTCAAAAGTCACATGTGTCTGTCACCTGTGTCCTCTTGGCTCCTTCCTTGGCTTAGCTTAGCTGTTGTGGAACCGTGGTTGTGCATGCCAGTCCAGAGCTCTCTACAACCACTAGCTTAGCTTTCAATTGGTGGAACAGAGTGCGTACTGCAAGAAGCACCAGGACCCAACCACAATCCCTTCCACATCATAAGCAGCGCACATCTGATGGCATTGCCTTGCACCTCCTCGCATCGCATTGCACCGCATCTCATCGCGTTGCGTCGCGTGTCCCTCTTCCCGGGCCCGTCTCCCTCCCAGCTGCACGACGCAGACCCAAGCGCCCAGGCCACACGAGACAACCTGGCAAAGACTTTTGAGACGTCTCAGAAGTCACATTGCATCGTGTGCCCCCCTCCTCCCTGGCTCCTTCACACCCAGGTGCACGACGCAGACCCAAGCGCCCAGGCCACGCGAGCCAACCTGGCAAAGATCATCTCGCTGTGCAAGCCGGGGAAGAAGGTGGCAGGAGTGGAGGGGCTCCAAGGGGCCGTGATTGGGAGTGGGAGTGGAAGCATGTCTCTCTCCGTCTCCACCACCAGTGTCATGTGGCACGTGGTAGTGTTTGCTGTAAGGAAACTGCACTCAAGCGTGTTTCTCCAGTCCGCATATTGCCTGCCTCACTCTACTCCTTCCCCCCTCCTCTCACTCACCCTCACATGTTACTCCAATCCACCTATGGTATCCCTCCCCCTCAACCCCTCTCTCTTACCCTTCCACTTCCTCACTTCCTTTTTTTTTTGCACTTCATGGGTTTTTTTGTTCTCTTTCAGCATTTGCTCTGTGTTTGCCCCAATGTTCCCGAAACTAACAAGAAACCTGTAATTTCATGTTTTTGCTTGTGGCCCGTGTTTCAGGTGGTTATCATATCTGTTATGCTGCTGTCAGTGCGCAACGGCCTCCTTCTCTGAAGTCTCGCATGGTGGAATGTGTAATCTGTAGCTCGTGTAAACAAGTCGTTTGCTTTCGCTTAATCTCTTCAGTTATTTTTGTGCATAAACAGCTTCTTTCTAGGAGCTATATCCTATTTCAAATACATCTTTGCTTGCTTGTGAGTGATGTTGGGTAGATGGGCATGCTCTGGTTTTTTGTGTTTGCTGTCCACAATGAGATTCTTATGTAGGGCCTAATAAACTAGTACGGTAAACAACGCACTCGCTTTGGCAAAATAGCCTAACGCTAGCTGATCAACCTTGAGCTGATTACAGTCAACATAGCTTGATTATGTGTGCTCTACAACAATGTTAGGGAGTGCTCTTGTAACCTGTGAATATGCAGACTTCCATGTTTTTAATCAGCTTATTCATTTTATAAAGCAAATCAAGGCAGCTCTACAACGAAGGATGCGAGGAGGATGTGCTTTGTGCCTCACCTCCGCTATGGCTTGGGCAGCTGCTGATTTTCGTGTCCATGCCCTTGGAATATTTTACATGTACATTCTGGTTTATTTGAATGTTTCGTCATTGGCAGACGCTGAAGTTACGGTGGCAACTTTAGAACTAGGGACTGGAGGTCCACACATTTTCGTTATCGCATCCTATTCAATGTGCACTAGTAAAATCGCGTCCAGCCCCTCACAAGCTGAAACCCTGCATATTGCCACTCAGATAAGTTACTACCTCAAGAACGTAAAAAGACAAAATTTTCTCCCTTTCACGCCTGACCCGAATGCTACATTCACCTCCCTCCCTCGCATCTGCCCGTCTTGAGCCCTCAAATCCTGCAATCCTGGACTGGAGCCATCAGCAGGAATTGGGCGCACGCGGTGCATTCCTTGTGTACTGTACTGTATCCCCTAGAGAGTCGTGCTCTCCTCCCCCCACCTCCCTGACCTGCTTCCTTCTATAGCCGTCCTTGTCAGATCAATCATCGCACCCAATCTCTCTCCGTTTTCCCCTGCTACAAGCACACACCATAAGAGTAATTCTGCTTTTATGCATCTCATAACATAACAGCGTCTCCCTAGTCTTAATTTCTATACTCAGTCTGTAGTAATTTTCTCGAGCTGATTGGCTGTGGTCCTACGCTTACGGTTTCTTGTTGGTTGATATCGGCCAGGGTTTTGGTTTGAACAAAGTTGGAGCAAACGGCTTTGGTTTATGGGATGCTGAGTCTCCGCGATTTACGCTCATGGCCGATTAACCATTTGCGTACCGTTCCGCGAATGATGGAACACATGCGTCGAAAGATCTGATGGATTTTCAGTCTAACAAATTAATTCTGGACAAACGGAAAACCTCTTTGCACAGAAAACTCCTTCGGTTAGCGTAAGCGGTGGCAACCTCAGCTTAGCGTACGCAGTGTGCGATGGGGCGGGAAGGGCGCCCTGTGCGCGAGATCCGCCTCCCCGCGAAGCTTCGCGACGAGTGCATCGAGCTGCCGTCGAAGCACTACTGCGCGTGCCGGCAGCCGTACAAGAAGGGCCGCTTCATGATCGCGTGCGACGCCAAGAACAAGAGCGCGCACTGCTTCGAATGGTGCCATGGCGCATGCATCGGCATTTCCGAAAAAGTCAGTCAGCCACCAGAAACCCGCTCCGCTCCACCACCCGCGCTTTTCTCTAGCACGGCTTTCGCTTGCTCTTGCACCGGTCGCATCGCTTCTCGCGTCTCCATGCTCTTGCCTCTCTGCACTTCCTTCCCTGAGATCTCGCCCCAGCGATGCCGTCCCTCCTCCTTCCGTTCTGGGTAACAGCTTCCGCCCACATCGCGCCTTTCATCTCCTCCATCCGCCTCCGCCTCTGTCTTCACACCCTAAACTTCTCTTGGCGCCATAAACGTCACTTAGGGTTTCGCCATTAAGGGTTACTCCTCTTATAATTGCTGCGTCGGCGTGACGTGTCGCACACGCAACCGTCTTGAGGAGTTGGTTGTGGGGTTCGTACGCTCTTGCCGCCGTAGATCTTCTTTGCAGATTTTCTCGGCAGATCTCCGCCGCAGATATAACCTGCACGGGAACTAACTGGGATGAATCTAAATCTCTGTGGACACGGGACTTGTAAAACCCCGATGAAACGCAACCGTACGGGATGAAACGGATCCGTATCCCAGGTCCTCTCCTGCACGTACCGTAGCCGTACGATGTACTACGTTTCAGTCGATGCGCCGGGAACACCCGTACGGAGCGTGCTATTCAGACATGTAGCTTGTTGCGCGTCGCATGCGTATCGCGTTCGTCGCGCGTTCCTTCCTTCCTCTCTCCCCCGCGACTTTACCCCGTCACTATCGCGCCACGACAATTGTCGCTGGAAATTGTCGTTGCACTAGCCAGTGTTCCCCAATCCTTTTTTCTCCGCATCGCCTCACATTTTCCCGTTCTCTGCTCTTTTTCTCCTCCTCCCTCCCCCCTCCCTTCTCCCCCCTCCCCTTCCTTCCCCACCTTCCCCCCTCTTTCCCCTTTGTTCCCACCCGTGCGTGCGCGTTCTTCGTTGTCGCATGGTTACCCTACAGGAGGCAGCGGGCATGGGCGAATACTTCTGCGAACCCTGTCGCGCAGCCGCGCAGGCGATAGTTGCGGGGGGCGACGACAACGCCGCCGCCGCGGCGTCTGCGGCTGCGGCGGCAGCGGCGGCGGCGGCGCTAGCGGCGGGCGTGGCGGCGGGCGCGGCGGCGGGCGCGGGAGTGGCGGTGTCGCCCGGGCAGAAACGGGCGAGGCGCAAGTCGACCCAGAAGGTGAGGGTTAGGGGATGGGGAGGGCAAGAGACGGGGTAGGGGAGTTTAGAACGAGGCAAGAGACGGGGAGGGGGGAGATTTGGCTGGGGGAAAAGGGGGACAGCGGAGATAGGGAGAGGAGATGGGCGGAAGTCGCGGGCGCAGGGGTTCCGCCGCTGGGCAAGCCCACAAACGAGGCGCAATTTGATTCAGAAGGTAAGGGCTGGGGGCGGGGGAGGGGTTTGGGGAGAGAGGAGTGAGGGCTGCGTAAGGCTGTGAGGGGAGAAGATGAGGGAGCAGTGGGGGTTTATGGAAAAAAGAACGGTGGTCGTAGGGTTACCAGGGTTACCAGCGTGTAACCAGTCAGATGTTTGAGATTTCGTGAAGAAAGTGGATGGAACAAGTACAGAGGAGGGAAACCAGTTGGAATGTCCAGGCTAGGAGATGGTTTTCTGTATGTTGTCAACCTGGCAAATGTCGAGTGAACGAAAGGAAAACGGGACGGCTCTCTCCCTTGTCAAAGCGCGCCAATGACAATTATCTTATCCCTTTGTCAAAGTGCGCTGGACATCGTCCCTGCGATTTCTCACCTGACCTTAGCCCGTGGCCGTTCCACCAACCAATTCTTGGGATGTGGAAAGAACAAGAAACGATCGTCGAGGCGCCTCCGAAATTATGTTTTGCAGTCTGTCACCTTAAAACCAGGGTGCACATTCAGAAATTGCGGGGGATGGGGAACATTTTTTTTGGGGGTTGGGGCGAAATCTGGCCGTAATGTGGGCATCAAAGGTTAACCCCTGATGCCCACCCAGGTGAATGTGCACCCTGGTTTTAAGAACGCAGTGTTGTGAAATGCACGCACATGGGGAAGGCACAGCAGGATTCATGTCTGTCTTTTAGTAATACACGTAATACACGTAATACACGTAATACACGTAATACATGTAATACACGTAATACACGTAATACACGTAATACACGTAATACACATAATACACGTAATACACGTAATACACTTGTACAGTGTGCACTTCGTTGGTTTTCTTCAACTGGATGCAATGGATTTCTCGTGTGCACATGTATGCGTGCATGGATGTACGCATGGATTTGGTTGTTTGATTTCTTGTGTGACTTGGATGCATGGCATGCGTCTGCACTGCACCCCTTTGCGCTGCTGTTAGAAAGAATTGAACGTTTTTTCTGTAATTTTGTGAACTTCCTGCTCCCCATTTGAGCGAACACACCAGCCAATCAAGCAACCAACGTTTTTTACCACCTCTCCCCCCACCTTTCCCCCTCTGCCCCCTCTTCTTCCCTCTCCCCATCGCCCTCCCCAGGCCTCTCTCTCTGACGGCCGCCATTCAGACGCCACGTCGGACGCCGACAATCCCGAGGCTCCAGGCAGCCACACTACATCCGTGCAGGCAGCCAGTCGCAGGCTGACACGTGGCGAGGCACAGAAACTACAGCGGCTGCAGCAAGGGGGCGCGGCAGCTGGGGAGGGGGAAGAGGTGGAGGAGGAAGAGGAGGGGGAGGGAGAGGAGGAGGAGGATGGTGGGGAAGGGGAAGAGGGACGGGGATATGCTGAGGAGCAGACAGGAAGGGTGATGGCTGGGTGCGACGGTAATGCTGGTCAAGAAGGGATGGCAGGGATGGCAGTAGGAATAGGAGTGGAAATGGGTATGGGGATGGGGGAGGTCGAAGGCATGGGCATGGGCATAGGGATGGGAATGGGCATGGGAATGGGTATGGGGGAAGGCATGGAGGGGGGTGAGTTTAGCATGTATCATGTTTTGGAAGGGTGGGAAGCTGGGCTAGAGGGCATGACTGTGGTCCCAGGGGCTGCTGCTCCTGCTGCTGGTGTTGTCACTGCAGCAGCTACTGCCACTACTGTGGCTGCTGCTGCTAATGCTGTTGCTAATGCTGCTGCTGCTGCTGCTGCTGGTGGGGAGGGCATGGGCTTGGCAGTGCCAGGGGGAGAAGTGCCTGGCGCTGTTGACGTTGGTCTGGGTGCTGGGCAGATGAATATGGGAGGAGGTGCTAATGGTGATGCGCATGTTGCCTTGGGTGGGGACCAGCAGCAGCAGTTGCAACAGCAGCAGTTGCAGCAGCAGCATGTGCAGCAGGAGGGGCAGGTGGAGCAGCAGCAGCAGCAGTTGCAGCAGCAGCAGTTGTTGCAGCAGCAGGAGCAGGAGCAAGGGGAGGCGGGGCAGCCGTTTTCTGTGTACGACGCTGTTGCTGCCGCTGCTGCATCTGCTGCTCTGCCAGACGACACGGTGCAGTCTCCCACACGCACTACGCTTCCACCGCAGCTGCAACCCTCAGTGGACCCAGCAGCAGCAGCAGCAGCAGGGGCAGAAGCGAAGGGCGGTTTGAAGCGCACAGCAGAGGATATGATGATGGGGGCTAGTCAGGGATTGGATCCAAACGCTGCCGCTGCTGCTTTCGTTGCCAGTGCTGGTGCTGGTGCTGGTGGAGTGGGTGCGGGAGGGATAGAGGGGGTGGATGCGGGAATGCTTGCCCCGGCAGCAAAGCAAGCGCGAGTTGACACCCAGGCCTCTGCTCTCCACGCTGCTTTTCCTGCTGTCCCACCTGCTGCGTCTCCCACCCTGGCTCCATGCGGGGCAGTGGCAGCAGACAGGGGAGGGGCAGGCGGGGAGAAAGCAGCCGTTGCTTTCGCACCCTCCCTCCCTCCTGCCCCTGGGCTTGCTACAGATGGTGCAGCGGCAGCAGCAGGTGGAGGTGCGGCAGCAGCAGCGCCAGGAGCAGTGGCAGCAGCAGGTGGCATTGGAGCCTCTGGAGCGTCTGGGCCACAACTGGTGGCGGTGACTATGCCAGTGCAGTCCACTCCTCCTCTTCCCACCGGTACCAGCAATGCCAGTGGCATTGCTACCGCCGCTGGTGCAACCGCCACTGCTGCTGTGCCTCCTGCCATGCCCGCCATCCCTCTCCTCCGCGTTCCTGTGTTCTATGGAAAGCCGCAGCTTCTGCCCTTTGCCATCCCGCCTCTCCCTGCCTTTGCTGGCGCTGCTGCTGCTCCTGGGCTAGCCCCCCCCGTTCCTTCGCAAGTTTCGCCAGGTGTTCCGCCAGGTGTTTTCCCAGGTGCTCCAGGCGCCGCCCCAGGTGCTATGCCAGGTGGCGTGATGGCTGCAGTTCCGCCGACTGCTCCTCCTGGGGTAGGGCGAAGCGGATCAGGAGCAGCGGTGGGGGGAGTGGGAGCAGGGGGGGTGAGCAGGCAGGGACAGGGAGCAGGGAAGGGAGCAGCAGCGAAAAGTGTCATGCAGACAAGACAAGGGACAGCAGCAGCAGCAGCAGCAGCAGCAGCAGCAGCCGGAGGTGGTGGTGGGGGTTTGTCTGGTTCTGCTCTGGGCAAGCTACACCTACAGCAGCAGCAGCAGCAGCAGTTGCAGCAGCAATTTCTGCTGCAGCAGCAACAGCAGATGGGGCAGCAGATGGGGCAGGAGGAGGGCCCCCCGCAACCGCACACCAAAGCATACTACCAGCACCACTCGCGCATGCGCACAGGCAGCGGCAGCAACGCGGGCCCCCCACCAACAGGCGCAGCACACGCCTTCCCTTTGGGCTCTCTCTCTCGATCCGCTTCTGGCGGGTCAGCAGCAGCAGCAGCAGCGGCGGCTGCGGCAGGAGTGGCTGGTTCCCCTGCTTCGCCCCGCACTGCTCCTATGAAGGGCCCGGGGCAGCGGAGGAACTCGGCAGGGCAGGCAGGGGCGCGGCCGAGAGGGCAGGAGAAGGGTGCAGCAGGGGCGGGAGGCGGGGCCGGAGGGGGGCGGGCGGGTAGTGGGCTGGCGGGTAGCAGCCCGAGAGGAGGAGGAGGTGGGGGTGGAGGGGCTATGGTGATTGCCAGAAGTGCTAGTGGTGGTGGTGGTGGTGCTGCTGGTGCTGGTGCTATGACTGGATCGCCTTCCGATATTGCGACGCGAAAGCGGTTCCGAGACTCTGTTGCTGCTGCCCTCTGCATCGGCTTGCTGGAAATGGCTGCTGCTTCTGCAGAAGCTGCTTCAAATGCGGCTGCGGCTGCTGCTGCTGCTGCTGCTTCTGCAGCGGCGGCTGCTGCTACGGCTGCTTCAAAGGGAGAAATCAAAGGGAAGGAAGAGGCAGGCGGTAGCAAGCAGTTAGAAGGGGTTAAGAAGGAGGAGGAGAAGGGGGAAGAGGTGAAGCTGCTTCCTGCTCCTCCTGCCAGTGTTGCGGCCCCAGAGGGGAAGGTAGAGGGGGGTGTGGGAACGGATTTGAGAGTGAAGAGTGAAAGGGACGAGGAAAAGGCTGGTGTGTTGGCGCCAGTGGCAGATGTGACTAGAACGGCTGTGAAGGAGGAAGAGAAGGGTAAGGTGGAGCAGGCGCAAGAGACGGAGGAGAAGGAAGAGAAAGAGGAGGTTGGAGCTAATGTTGGTGTTGGTGTTGGTGTTGGTGTTGGGCAGGGTGGAGAAGAGAGCAGAGCAGCAGGTGGATTGGTGGTGAATGCAGTGAAAGGGGAGGCAATAGTGCAAGGAGAGACGGGGACAGAAGAGTTGGTCTCTGCAGAGGGACCTCACACTCCGGGTGGCGTTTCAACCAATGTCCCTGCCACTCCTGGGGACTTGACGCCTGTGCAAGCTTCTGAGACTGCTCCTGCTTCTGTTTCTGACGCTGTGCCCTCTGATGCAGCCGCTGATGCTGTTGCTGCACCTGACGCTTCTGCTCCTCCTGCTCCTCCTGCTGCTCCTGCTGCTGATCCTCTTCCTTCTGAGGCGGCTACTGCTGCTGTTGCTGCTGATGGTGGTGCTGTTGCTGCTGCTGGAGCTGAGTCCGCTGCTGCCGTGCACAGTGCGACCACTGTTGGAGGGGTCGTTACAGTCGACAGTGCAGCGCAGTCAGCAGCAGCAGTTAATCCTTCTGAAAGTGCAGCAGTGAATCAGTCAGACCCCACTGCTGCTACTGTTGCCGCTGCTGCTCCTGTTCCTGCTGCTGCAGATGCTGCTGCAGCTGCAGGAGTGGTTGCAGGGGTGGTGGCAGGGGAAGCTGGGCTGAAATCAGAGCGTGTCGCTGAACCGATGGTGACTGAAACGGTAGTGAAGGCAGAGGGTGTGACAGAGGCAGGTGGGGTTGCAGGAGAGGCGGTGGTGGATGTTGTGATGGGAGAAGTAGCAGACGCTGATGCTGCTGAAACTGCAGGAGCAGCAGCAACAGCAGCAGCAGAGGCGGCTGCAGTGGCGGTGACAGGGAGCGAGGAGGGTGGTGGTGCTGCTGCTACTGCAGCAGGTAAGGAGGAGGGAGAAGCGAGAGAGAAGCAAGGAGGGGCAGTGAAGGCGGAAGAGATGGAGGAGGATGTGGTAGAGGTGAAGGGAGGAGAGGGGAAGGGAGGATGGATAGAAGACGAGGTTGCAGTTGAGGAGGGGGATGCGAGAGGTGTTGAAGTCGGTGCACAGGTGTTGAAAGAGGAGGAGGGAGGTGGAGGGAAGGGCATGGCGGAGGAGGGAGGAGCGGAGCCTGCAGCTAAGGCGGATTCAGACGTGGTTGAAGTGCCCAGTTCTGTGCCTATGGCAGAGGGCGGAGAGGGGGAGACAGCAGCTGGTAACGGAGAGGTTAATAAGGAGGACAACGGTGGGGTGGGTGGAGGAGTAGCCATAGCCATTCAGGGAGGAGGAGAGGCCGCAGGGGGGGATGTGGAGATGAAAGATGCAGTGGTGGGGACAGAGGGGGGTGACGAGGGAGGAGTGATGGGGGCGCAGAAGGGGGAGATGGATGATGATGTGGTGGAGGTTGCACCTGGAGGGATGGAGGGAGTGATGGTGGGAGGAATTGAGGGAGGGACGGAGGGAGGGACGGCTGGTGTGGTTGTGGCAGCAGCAGTTGCTGCAACTTTACCAGCAGCAGCTGCACCGGCTGAACCGCCTGCTCAAGAAGCAGCAGCAGAAGTAGCAGCATCAGCAGCAACACCAGCGGAAGCCCCAGCGGCAACAACACCAGCGCCAGCAGCAGCACCAAGACCAGCGCCAGCAGCAGCACCAGCGCCATCATCAGTAGTAGCAGCAGCGGTAACATCTGCACCAGCTCTAGCGATAGTGGCATCACCACCAGTGGCGACACCTTCAGGAGTCTTAACACCACTACCATTAGCAGCAGCAACACCATCACCAGCATCAGGAGCAGCATCATCACCAGCAGCAGCACCATCACCAGCAGCAGCACCATTACCAGCAGCAGCACCATTACCAGCAGCAGCACCATTACCAGCAGCAGCGTCACCATCAGCAGCACCATCAACAGCCATAATCCCATCATCCCCATCCACCCCACCTGTCCCCATCACCACCACCACCACCCCACCCGCCCCGGCACTCTCCCCAGCCTCCCTCCCCCCGGCACAGCGCGCCAAAGCCGATGCCCTCGCAGCCACAATCGAAGACGAGCTATTCCGGCTCTTCCGAGGCGTCACTAAAAAGTACCGCGACCGGGCTCGATCTCTGCTCTTCAACCTGAAAGACCCGAGCAACCCAGAGCTCCGTGCAAGGGTAATCTCAGGGGACCTCCCCCCTAGAGAGCTCTGCCAGATGACTGCAGAGCAGCTGGCTTCACGGGAGCTGTCGCAGTGGCGAGAGGCTAAGTACCAGGAGCATGCGGAGCAGACAGTGCTTACAGAAGAGGATTCTGATGCGCTCATGCGAGTGGTTAAGAAGACGCATAAGGGAGAGGTGGAGGTGGAGTTGCCTTCGCTTGCGGAAGAGGTTTCCGCGCCTGTGGTGGCTGCTGTGGGGTTGAATGGGGGGAAGAGAGCGGGGAAGGGCGAGGAGGAGGGGAGAGGGAGGGGCGGGAGTGGCGTGGAGGGGAAAGGGGAGGGGGATGGGGCCGGGGTGAGTGGTGGGCGGAAGGAGAGGGAGAGAGGGGACGGTGGGGGTGGTGTGAAGAGGGAGAGGGAAGCAGATGGGGAAGGGAAGGGGAGTGGTGAGATTCTGAGTTGGGAGAAATGGAGTGCGATGAGGGGTGGTGGGGGAGGGGATGGGGAGGAGGAGGGCGAGAAGGGGGTGGAGGGTGAGGAGGAGGAGCGAGGAGGGGGGAAACGGCTGGCTGTTGAAGGTGTTCGACGCAGGAGTTACAGTGGTGTGGGTGGGGGTTCGGGTGGATTGGAAGAGGAAGGGATTGGGGAGTTGATTGCACGAGTCACAGGCAGAGACAGGTCGGGTTCAGGGGAGGGAAGAGAGGGACGGGAAGGGAGAGAGGGGCGGGAGGGGAGGGAGAGAGGCGGAAAGGCAAGAGTGGGAGCAGAAGGGAGAGGGTCAGGTGGGAGTGGGGGAGGTGGAAGAGTGCTGGGAAAGGCAGGGTCGTTGGGGGGTGACGGGGAGAAAGTGCATGGCGGGAGGCATGGGAGGGATGTGAAGGAGGAGAGCAAGGAGGGGAGAGTGGATGGTGAGGGGGGCGGGGGAGGGGATGGAGGACGGAGTAGGGAAGGCGGAAAGGGGTTGAAGGAGCAGGAGAGAGCAGAAGGCAGGGGGAGAGAAGGAGGAGGAGGGGAGAAGGCTGCCGAAGGGGGCCTAGCAGCAAAGGAGAAAGAGAGGGAGAGGGAGGTGGAACGGAGTGCAGCAGCAGCAGCAGCAGCAGCGTTTTGGGGGGGAGTGAAGGAGGGTGCAGTGGAGGAGGTGTGGTCGCAGGCGGAGGAGGAAGCAAAGGCCTTGGCAGTGGGGCAGGACATATGGGAGGGGGGGCTGCAAGTCACGTCCTCACGCATGTGCCCCATCCGTGCCTTCCGAGTCAGGTACGCGCGGGGTTTGAGCTTTATGGTGCTTAGGCTTGGACTTAAGGGTGCTTAGGCTAGGTAGGGTATGACTGCGTACCACTGCTTGTGCTGTCCTCCTGGGGATTTGCAAAAACTGGCATCTGCTTGCACGGTGCTTTTTATTATCGTTTGCACTCTGCTGACCTCATTCGCGCCTCAAGCATCCACCATCCACCATCCACCATCCACCATCCAGCATCCAGCATCCAGCATCCAGCATCCAGCATCCAGCATCCACCATCCAGCATCCAGCATCCAGCATCCAGCATCCACCATCCAGCATCCAGCATCCACCATCCACCATCCACCATCCAGCATCCACCATCCACCATCCACCATCCACCATCCACCATCCACCATCCACCATCCACCATCCAGCATCCACCATCCACCATCCAGCACACAGCAGACAGCCTGCCGTGCTTGCTTTCTCCCTTTCTCACCATCAGCTGCGTTGCTTGAATATTCCAAACCCCTCTCTTTTTCCCCCATCTCCCACCTTCTCCCCTCCATTCATCCCTTTCCTCTCCTCCCCACCCCACCCGTCCCTTGTTTATCCCTTCTCTTGCTCATCACCCATCCATCACCCCTCCATCACCCATCATCACCCGTCCATCACCCCTCCATCACCCCTCCATCACCCATCATCACCCGTCCGTCACCCGTCCATCACCCATGCATCACACGGCGTGCACAATGTGTGAGCAGTGGCGACAGCAGTGTGGACGTGGGGCGCTTTGAGGCGGTGGTGGAGGTGAAGGGGCGCGTCAAGATGTCAGACTTCGCCACCTTCCTCTCTGCCCTGCGCACCGCCCGCTCTAGGACCGTCGTGGTGCGAACTCTCACTTTCTTCCTCTTTCCTCCTCTCCTCTCTCCTCCTCTCCTCCTCTCTCTTCCCCTCTCCTCTCTCTTCCCCTCACCTCTCTCCTCCTCTCCCCTCCTTTCCCCTCCACTCCCCTCCACTCCTCTCCACTTGCATCCATTCGTTTCCTCTCGTTTTTGCTCTTGCGTTTGCTGCTTGAACCCTCTTCCCTTGCAACTAATAGTTTATGAGCTCGCAAATGAAAGCTCCTCTCCTCCCATCCTTCGTCCCAGTCCCACATCTTATCCTACTCTCTCCATCCCTTTCTTGCTGTTGTTCACATCCCCCTTCGCACGCCTCTTCCTCTCCCCTGTCGTGTGTGCATGGCACCATCAGGTCCTAGTGCTGCTGTGCCCAGATGTTACAGACGATGCTCTGCATGAGGTGTGTCCGCCATTCACGCTCACCCTTGTACTTCTTCTCTTGAGCCTCTAATCTTTTGCCTCTTCTCTTTATTTCTCGCCGCTGCTCTTTGTTCCCTCTAGGGTTTAGCTCCTTCTCTGACCTCTTAACATGTTTGAGAATTTGATAGAACCCTGTGATATTGTTTCAACTGCCTTGGTCTCCCCACTTTTCGCTGTGCTGTAATGTTTCCACTTTCCTCTCCTTATTCCCTCGGTCAAATCCATCTCTCCCTCACCTCCTCCTCACCTCCCCCTCCTCTCTCCCTCACACACCCTTCCTTCATCCTCCTCTTGCCTTCCCCTGTTATCTCCACTCCACCCCACCCCTCTCCTTATCTTCTCACGGGCCCACCTGTATCCCCCATGAGAGCAGGCAGCAGAGCAGTACCTGGAGAGCAACAGGGTGGGCTTTGCAGAGCCGTGCAAGGGCACAGAGCTTTACCTGCTGCCTGTGGGCAGCGAGGGGGAGAACCTGCTCAGAGCCAACGGGTTCCTGCCCAAGAAGGCGCTTCCTGCTCCACCCACTGCTGCTCCTGCGCCTGCTGCTGCTCTTCCTGCTGCTACGGACGTGGCTGCTGCTGATGCTGCTCCTGTTCCGAGTGTTGCTGCAGCTACCCCTGCTTCTGCTGCTGACCCTACAGCTGGCTCTGCTGCTGCTGCTGCTGCTGCTGCTGCAGAAGCAGGATCAGGTTCCAATGCGGCTGCTGGTCCTGGTTTTGCGGGTGTGGCTGGTACTGGTAGTGACACTGCTGCTGCTGCTGCTGCTGCTGCAGAGGTGGTTGAGAACGCGCAGAAGGCGGAGGCGGAGGCTAAGGTAAAGGAGGAGGTGAAGGTGGAGGCACAGGGTGATAAAGACACTGACACAATCCCTGTGGGTGCTGCCAGTGGAACGGGCGAATCAGCTGCAGGTCAGGCTGTTAAGGAGGAACCAGCGGAGGCAGTAGTGGTGAAGAAGGAAGAAGGTGCAGCAGAGACAGCAGGCGGAGTGACGCCTGCAGGGGATGCTGAGGTGGAAGAAGAGACAGGGCCAGCGGGAATGAGTGTGGAGGGAGGAAAGGCGGAAGGAACAGGGGATGGTTCCGCTGCTGCTGTTGCGGCAGTCAATGCTGCAGACGCAGCAGGTGCGGGAGAAGCAGCAGCAACGACTGGTGTGGAGACAGCAGGGGAAGAGGCTGGGCCACGAGGAATGGGTCAAGATGGAGGAGAATCATCAGCAGGAGGAGGAGGGGAGGTCAGTCCTGTGACCACTGCCATCACCACTGCAGACACCACACCACCAGAAGCCGCACCAGCACCATCAGCAGCAGCACCACCAGAAGCAGCAGCACCACCAGAGGCAGCAGCACCGCCCGAAGCAGCAGCAGCAGCAGCAGCTGTGTCTGCCAGTGCAACCGTTGCTCCTGCCATGGGTGGGGACACACCCGGTTCCACTACCTCTGCTATCACTCCGCCACCTGCTGTGCTTGCTCCATCCGCCCTAGCACTCACTCCGCCTCCTGCCACCGAGGCTCCGCCTCCTCCCACAGGCGCAGGTACCGAGGGCGAAACCAGTGGTGCTCTCTCCCACTCAGAGCACGGGAAAGAGCTGACAGAGTCTGCTCTTGTGACCACTGAAGCAGCCGGAGCAGCAGGAGCAGCTGGAGGAGCAGCGGGTTCTGCAGCAGCAGCAGCAGCAGGAGCCTCAGATGCAACTGCACTGACCGTTTCAGGGACCGTCTCTGCAGCAGCCCCTACTGCTGGTTCTGCCCTGACTCCCTCGCCCGGCTCAGCCTCTCTGAGGTTTACCTCGTCTGCTGTTGCGTCTCTGACAGCCGGGGAGCGTGTGCTTGCTCTTCCTGCATCTGCCGTGGGGCAGAGAGTGCTAGGCCTGCTAGTGCAGCGAAAGAGCACAGCGCAGGTTATAGCCGCCGCTGCTGCCGCCGCTGCAGCTGCTTCATCTGCTTCTGCTACCACCACCCATGCTGCTTCTGCTGGCCCTGATGCTGCAGGTGCTGTGACCGTTACCCCTGCTGGGTACGGTAAGGTCAGTAAGCGGGAATCGAGCTACAAGGTGGATGATTCTGCAGCGGCAGCAGCCGCTGCTGCAGCCGCTGCGGCCACCCGAGGCCTGTCAACTCACTCCTCCAAGGCTGCAGCAGCAGAGTCCCCAGCCAAGTTCCCTCCACCGGACGCCGCACCCCCACATGCACATCGACAGGAGGACAAGCCAGACAGGTTCCGGCATGGCGCAGGGCACGGGCGTGAGTACGGGCGAGAGAGGGACCGCGAGCGGGAGCGGGAGCGGGAGTACGGTCGGGAGCACGGGTATGGCTCGTTCCAGTCAGGCCATGGGCATGGGCCTTCACCTGTTGCGCTTCGCCGCGCAGGCAGCAGCGGGGGCAGTGGTGCCAGTGCTGGTGGTGGGTACGGAGGAGGGGTTGCACATACCCCGCCTGCCCCACGCTCCCGCCCTCCCATGTCACCTGCAGCTGGTCCGAAACCCGGCCCTATGGCTGCTGTGTCTCCCCGCCTCCCGACATCGCCCACGCCTGCTTCTGCAGGGTGGGGGGGACGAGAGAGGCGGGAGGAGAGGCGGCGAAGGGGGCGCGGGTGGGATGATGGTAGTGATAGGCACCCGGGCGGGGTTGGTGCTGCTGGGGGAGGTGCTGGGAGGGGTGTTGGTGTTGCTGGTGGGAGATTGGGAGGAGGAGGAGGAGGAGGAGGGGGAGGAGGAATGGATGATGATGATGATTTGCCTGAGTTTGAGTTTGAGCAGCCGGCTCTGCCACAGCAGCAGCAGCAGCAGCAGCAGCAGAGTGAGCCGTCTCTCCCTCCTGGCTTCTATTCTGGCAGTCCTGCTGCTGCTCCCGCACCAGCTCCTGCTTCCTTTCCTTCTGCTCCTCTCGCTGCTGCTGCTCCCATCTCTTCTGCAGGCGCCTCTACTTCTGCGCGCACTCCTCCTATGGTTGCCCCTGATGCTGCTGCAGCGGCTGCAGCTGTGGTTGCAGGCGGTTTGCCCAGTAATCTGGCCTCTGCTCTTGCTGCCGTAGCTCCTGCCCTCGCCTCCCTTGCAGCTCTAACTTCTCTGCAAGGATCTAATCAGCAACAACAGCAGCAGCAACAGCAACCGCAGCAGCAGCAGCAGCAGCAGCAGCAGCAGCAACACCCTGTTGCACAATCACTTGCCCCGCCTCCCTTTACCCCTCCTCAGCCGTTCATCCCACAACCGGGTACATCAACTCCCGCTGTCCCGCCTACCACTGCTTCTGGTTTTGGTCCTGCACATATCCATCCACAGCAACACCAGCAGCAGCAGCAGCACCCGCTTCCCTCTATGTCTGCTCCCACGCCCATGGCCTCTGTGCCTCCTGCTCCTGCCCGCCCTGTTTGGAAGATCACAACCACCACTGCCCCTAGTCCGGTCGCATCCATTCCCCCTGCTGTGCCTGCGGCGGCGCCTATCCCTGCCCAGGGAGGTATGGTCCAACGACCTGGAATGGGGATGGGAGCAGGCATGGGTGGTGGAGGAGGTGGGCCTGTAGGTGCCGGGGGAGATGTGTGGGGCGCTATGCCAAAGCCACAGCTGCAGCAGGCACAGCAGCAGGAGCAGGAGCAGCAGCAGGCGGTGCAGCCGTTGCAGCAGCAGGGGCAGCAGCAGGTGCCGCCGTTAGAAGGGTATGGAGGAGGGGACGGGGCGAGAGGACCTCAGGGTTTCAGGGGAGAAGGAGGCTGGGCTCAGGGGCCGGGTGGGGCGGGACGGGGGCCTGGATGGGAGGGGCAAGGACGGTGGCAAGGGCCTGGACAAGGGGAGGGAGGCTGGATGCAGGGACGGGGGCAGGGCCAACAGGCGTGGCAGCAGGGACAGGGGCAGGGGCAAGGGCAGGGGCAGGGGCAGGGCCGGGGGCAAGGGTGGCAGCAGGGTCAAGAGCAGGGAGATGGGCAGTGGAAGGGGCAGGGGCAAGGACAAGGGCAGGTGGGGCAAGGTGGGTGGAAGCAGGGGCAGGGGGAAGGGCAGTGGCAGCAGGGGCAAGGGGAAGGGCAATGGCAGCAGGGGCAAGGGGAAGGGCAATGGCAGCAGGGGCAAGGGGAAGGGCAATGGCAGCAGGGGCAAGGATGGCAGCAAGGGCGAGGGGAGGGGCAATGGCAGCAGGGCCAGGGAGAGAGGCAGTGGCAGGGGGGGCGAGGGGATAAGCAATGGCAGCAGGGTGGGGGAGAGGGGCAGGGTCAGGGTCAGGGGGAGTGGCAACAGGGTGGACAGGGACAGTGGCAGCAGGGGCGGGGCCAGGGGCAGTTTAATCAGGGCGGGAGAGAAGGGCAGTGGCAGGGGCGTGGGCGAGGGGGGGGGTGGAGAGGCGGAAGGGGAGGAGGTGGTGGGCGCTGGGGACCAGGAGAAGGCGGATGGAGACAAGGCCCTGGACGGGGGCAGGGGGGATGGCAGCAAGGGCAGGGGCAGGGGCAGGGGCAAGGACAGCAGTGGCAGGGACAGGGGCAGGGGCAAGGGGAGTGGCAGGGGCAGAGGCAGGGAGCGTGGGAACAGGGCCAGGGGAATAATCAGGGGCAAGGAATGGAAGGGGGAGAGGAAGGGCAAGGTCAGGTTCAGGGAGTGGCAGGACATGGGCAGGTGCAGGGGCAGGGGCAGGGGCAGGGGCAGGGGCAGGGGCAGGGGCAGGGGCAGGGGCAGGGAGCATGGGCTCAGGGTCAACAGACAGCTTGGGGCCAAGGCCAGGGCGCTACTGGGTGGAAGCAGGGGCAGCAGGGTGAGGAGACGTGGAATCAGGGCCAGGGAAGTCAATCACAAGGCCAGGCTCAGGTACAGGGTCAAGGGCAGAGCCAGCAGGGAGGGTGGGGGCAAGGACAGGGACAGGGGCAGGGGAGTTGGTTCCAAGGCCAAGGGCAAGGTGAAGGGAACTGGGAGCAGGGGCATGGGCAGGGAGATGGAGCACAGGTCTATGGTGGGGCTGCTGGACCTGATGGGTCGTACTACGGTGGTGGTGGTAGTGGTGGTGGTGGTGGTGGTGGTGGTGGTGGTGGGCGTGGTGGGCGTGGGCAGGGGGGTTTTGGGGTTGATTACAATGAGCATGGTCATTATGAAGGGCCCAGGGGGGCAGGAGGGCCTGGGTGGGGTAGGGGCCAGCATGGAAGAGGAGGAAGGGGAGGTGGTGGTGATGGGGGAAGGCATTATGGTCCAATGTAATCTGAGCTGTGCAGGCAGTCGCCGATGAAGGGCCCAAGTGAAGGCAGCGCGAAAAAAAGTCATGTGGAAGCTTGTTGGGATCTTGTGTCTGTTCGTTTTATGTTTGACACAAGGTTCCAAAAGCAGCGGTTTATTGCCATAAGGCTGAATGGAAATGCCCATTTTTGCATCACATGCAAGGATGCCTCACTGCAGTGAAAGGGCTTGCCTTTGGGGTGTTTTAAAGAGAGATAGGCATTGTTTGCCTAATCAGTTTCTGTTGGAACCATGCAATGTTACCACACCGTGTACTTCGGTATGGTAGCTCTATATTTGTGTTACATGTTACACTGTAGGTTTGTTTTGTGTACTTGGCGACTGAGATGCAGTACTCTTTTAGTTACAGAATTTTGTTTTTGCTTTTCAGGAATGAAGTATACAGAAACAATAAGGTCGATCGTGTACACTTCCGCATGCTTCGACTTACTGTACCCACGCCATGCAGTCCTCGAGAACTGAAGCCTTTTCGTCGAGGTTTGGCGGGAAGCGAAGAGCTGCCTGCAAACTTTGTGACTTTCGTGCTTCACACAACCCCATCCTGATAGGCGATGCGGCTAGCACTTTTTAATTGAGCTCATTGAGCTGACAGCCATGGATGCGTTCCGTCTGACGAATCTGACTCATTCAGAAATTGCGCAGTCTCTTCCTCTGCCGGCAATAGCATCTCTTCAAGACGTTAACGGGTCGTCAGTTTTACGAGGGGATCAAGTTACTGCAAGGCTAGCTGATTCACTGAATGGATTGACAGGAGCTGACATAGATAGGATCGGACATTTGGTACAGGGAGCGGACGTCTCTTACCTGTAAGTGGAGCGTACCTTTCGATCTCTCGAGTCTTTTGGAACACTGAGCTAACATTACCGATCTTCTTATCAGATCGTTGGTGAGCCCTTGCGAGAGGAGGGTAGCAGAAACTACAACCATGTCTGGGGCAACCGCAGTTTTGATCAATGCTGTTGAGCAGCGATTTCCTGGGGTTTTCGAAGTGGCATCTTCAGGTATTTCCCCCTTGAAGCCCTCATTCACGTGGACAGAGCTTCACGCACTATGTTCGACCATTACGCCTTCGTCCCCCTGACCGGGTTTCACGTTTTTTATTGACGCCTAACAAGTGATGTCCTTATGTCTGGACCAGCTGATCAAAACTCTGAACAATTCGCCTTACATGAAGGATTTCAGCAGCTCGTGCAAAAAACGTCCCTGCAGCCTCCACAAGTACCACCACACGGTTCGCAACCTTTAACTGAGTCGATTCGGAAGGAATTCGTAACCATGCCGGTGCGTTCTGTGATACCGAAGAATTACCGTTAGTTTTCTCGGCGTGATTCATGAAAAGTTTCATTGCCATGTTGTGCAGCTAGAGACCCATATGAATGACGATGGTACACCTGCTAAGTTGCCAGGTGCATCAGATCAGTTTTCTCCAACTTCAAAGCTCAAGAAACGACGCACAAGCCTTCATCACGGGCTTCGCCCAGGCGTCCATGATGGTGGTAATGGGGAGACTGTTGAAGGTAGGCTATCAGCTGCTGTTATATTGCAATTGTCAGATGGCATGCCTAATACTGTGCTTTTTCGTTAATCAGGTTTGTCTAAAGCATTGGAGGATCTTCTTGAGGCGTTCGAGTCTTCCAGTAACGACCAGGGTTTCAGGCAAATGGCATGGAAGGCTATGTCTGCCTGGCAAGAGACTGCACGAAAGTGGAGGGAAAAGAAGCTGTTATGCTCTCTTCCGGTCGATTTGTTGTCTCGATTTCTCCAAGCGCTGGAAGCTCAGATTGATAATGGCAAACTCTCTGCTTTGAAGGACGATGACAATGTAAGCTTAGCTGATTTGCATTGTTATTCACACAGCCTCTGTGGTCTGAGTCATTGCTGAATGCTTTTCGTCTGCAGGTGAGTTCTGAAGCTTTTGAAAGCGCCATGATGTCTCTGGAGGCTGTGCATCTGTCTCTCCTTATCATGACGTCACGTGGGATGCCAAAGCAAGTCTTTCAGGAAGAAGTGAGTACGCGACTTGCTCTGCCTTTTTTTATGCCCAAACTTCCCAATTTTTCGCTGAGACGTTGACCTCCTTGCAGGTGATTGAAAAAATTGTTGAATGCATTCGATTCCACATGTCACGGAACATTTTCTGTGCGTGTGATGCTGTGTACCGGCAAGCACATGCTGACGATGATGGTAAGTTGCATTCAACTCGTTTTTAGCTTGTAAAATGAGGGTAACTTCTCTTACGTGACACCATGCTTTGACACGTGGGTTTTCACACTGTCACAGAAACTGCAACAGGTCCAGATGGTGCCGCGGAACCGTCAAAAGCTGAGCGCAAAGGACGAAGAAAGTCTAAAGGCGTCGATGGCAGGTAAGCTGTTCTGTCCGGGATTCTGACGTTCAAAGCATGTTGTATCTGTAACATGTCATTTACTACTGTAAGCGACCTTATTATTGCAAGCGTCGTTTGGCAGGGCTTCCAAGGCCGTTTCAGCTCTGATTGACAAGGTCTGCAGCATTTTGCCCATATTTGCGACACTTCTTTCAGTAACAAGGCTGCCAGACAGCTCAGTGCTGCAAATTACCAAGACTGGACTTGAGGCACTCAGTGTGGACAATGTGCATTTGCTTCAGCTGAAATCAATTTTGCTGGTCACTGCAGTAAGTTCACAGCCGCAGTAGCAGCCGCTTATGAAGCACCTAATGCCTGTCTCACGATCGTGCTTCTGGTGATATCCACAGATTTTTCGTGTCTATCCACACCATAGGAGCTTGGTGATGGATGAGATTGCTCTACTATTGTGGAAGCTGCATACGGGAAAGAAGCTCTCAAGAACTTACCATCTGATGGAAAACAGTAGCACTATTCAGCTGGTTTCAGCACTGCTGCTGCAGCTCTTTCAGTGCTGTGTCTTTCTTCCTGAGCCAGAACCTGAGCCTCAAGCAGAGGAAGAGCTTTCCATCAAAGAGACAAAAGCTGTTCCAGTCAAAAAGGGAAAAAGGGGACGACGGCGAATTTCGAGCTCGGCTGATGAGAAAGGGGTTCTTGATGTCGCAGCAACAAACCAGATAGACGATCTGGCAAACACGAATGGAGAGGGGAATGGCAAACTTGGTGCTGACGATGGAAAGAGCAACCCTGAGAAGGGTCATTCTGACACGGGGCTGGAGAGTGCAATCGATGCAGTCAGATACTTCTGGAAGGTAGCTTTGGAGCGCTGGTCGGCTCCTAAGGCTGGTTCTGAAGGAGCGGACTCTAAAGCAGTGCTAGAAGCCTTGGTTGAAGACCTGCTACTGGCGCTCCACCTTCCAGAGTACCCTGCAGCAAGCCTCATGCTCCAAGTAAGTTGGTGGTTGTGAACAAGCAGTATAATATTGTTGGTCTTATGACTTCTGCAGAATTCCAACACATGGTTGTTGCGCTATGGCAGGTTCTGTGCGTTTTTCTGGATTCAAGCTGTGGTCTGAAGTCCGACAGCTCAGCTGTCAAAGGCATGTCGATTGACATTCTGGGGGTCATAGCGTCCAAGCTCAAAGTGGATCAAAGATCCATTGAGAAAGAAATGGTTCCTCTTGTGAAGGGGCTTTGGAAGCCATTGGGAGATGATTCTTCTGCAATCTATTATGTTGACCACAAAGAGGAGCAGGTTGATGGCACTGACTCTGCTGGCCCTGGAAACGTGAAGGAGAAGCCATCATGCACTTCAAACGGGACAGCAGTCGTGCCTACGGGGTGTGTGGTCTGTACTGCTGCAGGAGATTCAGCTCGCCGTCCCAATGCCCTGACGTCTTGTTCGGCATGCTCAAGCGTTTTTCATCCTGATTGCATGGGAGTGAGTGAGGGCGATGGAGGGCCTGCATGTCTTGGAAGTGAGGTCACGTGTGTTCCATGCCTGGTCAAGCAGCGTTTGGACAGGGCCATTGGAGGAGATATGAAGGAAACGGGAGCTGCTGTGACGAATTTGATGGTCTTGGAGCAGATGGTTCTGGACTACCTTGGAGCCAGCATGAAACGGAATCGAGTGTGTGCTGATGCTGGAAGGTGAATATTTAGATGCTAAGTGTAAAGCCTTTTCCCTTCTCGTGCTTCCATTTCTTCCTGAAGGCTGGTTCTCAGGTTTTAGTTCTGACCTTTTTTTTCCGTGGTCCACCCTCTTCAAACCCTGCAGCTTCTGGATTGCAACGTGGCTGAAGGATTCCACCCCACAGTCGAATGCAGCCCCAGAAAGCCCCATGAACAGAATTTACAGTGCTCGTTTCCATGTATTCAAGCCACAGATGGAGTCATTCGACGCTCTTCAGATGGTTGATCCGTCTGCACCGCTACTGCCAGCAACAGCTGCACTTGCTCCTGGTTCGGATGTGGCGGTTGCACCAAGGGAGCTTGTGCTTCGTGTGGTTCGGAGTTTCAACTTGCATCGCGCATTTCATCGGAGTTTCTCTGCTGTATTGACACGGCTGTTGGTATGAAGAAAAACCACTTAAAGATTTAAGCCATGCCCATTGCCCTCCCATCTCCTGTTACTTTCCCAGTGCGTGTGTCAAATTAGTCCATTCTGGCTCTCCTTCTATTTTGCAGGCTTGTTTGAAGGACAGGCCAACAAATCGTGCCAAAGCAATGAAAGCAGTAAGTCTGCTGCTTTGTTGCTGCTGCATTCTTTGCCCCATTTGCTATCATTCTTATTATTGCTTTGCTCTTGGCAGTTGAGCATGGTGGTAGAGGTGGATCCAAGCATCCTTGCTCTGGACAAGGTGCGGAAGGCAGTGGAGGATCGGTTCCTGGATGTGTCAGTCAGTGTGAGAGAGGCTGCGATTGACCTGGTTGGGAAGCACATCATTGGATACCCAGAAGTTGCGCTGAAGGTTCGTTGACCGCCTGTATGTGCCTGCCTGTCCAATGTTGTTTCTGGTCTTAATGTCAGATTGTTTTTCATTACTGTTTTTCATTTCTTTCCCTGCAGTATTACAATACCATCACAGAGCGCATCCGAGACACCGGTGTAAGTGTGCGAAAGCGAGTCATTCGTATTGTTCGGGAGCTTTGCTTGCAACATCGTGGCTTTCCCCATGCAGCAGAGGCTCTGGCACGCATCTTCACCCGATTTACTGATGAGGAGGCTAGTGTTCGTGACTTGGTCCTCAAGACCTTCCATGATGTCTGGTTTGAGGGAGCAGCTTCAACCACTACTGTGGCCAACACTGACGGCTCAGCTGCTGTTGGTTGGGGCACCTCAAAGGTTTCAGAAGAAGAGTCAGAGGAGAAAAAGGTGGCTGCCATAGCTGGGCAACTTGTGGAGATCTTGCGGACTCAGAAGTGCCATCAAACCATAGTCTCAATCATCAGGCGGAGTTTGGAGATCAGTGACGAAGCTGCAGACAAGAAATGTGATGCACAGAATGGAGTGTTGGCTACATCATCTTTCTCCGCGACCTCCTTTGCTCCCCTCTCCGCTCAAGCCGGTGGACAACAGAGGCCTTTTGTGAGGATGCGCTGTGAAGCTATCTGCCGGTATCTTCTTGACCAGGTCCTATTGGTCAGTATCTCGTTTTCTGACTTCTCTTGCTGCTTGGTTTTCCAGCCATTGACATCTGTTGCTGTGCTTGTCTTCAGTCACAAGAGCGGGAATCGGATGAGTTTGCAGCACTTCCGTTTGTGATGGCCCTCCAAGCATTTTGTGAAGTGGATGCTACACTGTGCACTCCACCTGTGGATCCAAGCCGGTTCGCAACCACACTGCTTCCATACCTGACAACAACACAGGTATGCTGTAGCAAGGTTTCTAAAGTTCTAACAATTCACATCAGGATATTTTTGCTGACTACTTCGTTCAACAATCCCATGCAGGATGACAGGAGCAATGGTGATGTCAAGAGGGCCGAACGGCAGGCCCGACTTGCCTGTCTGTCAGAGTCCATTGTTCGGGTGATAGCAGGAATTCTGGCACATCTTCGCCGGCCACCATCATCTCTTGTCACTGAGCTGGATCAGGTCCTTGCATGCTTGATCATCAGCAGCAGCTTCATGAACCTTGTTCATGTCTCCATCAGGTAACTGCGCTCTCTACCGACTTTTCTATTCAGCATAGAGTCCCATTTGTCATCAACATGCCCCACATCTGTTCCTTGTGGCAACTGCAGGTGTCTTTGCACTCTCCAGATTGTCTCACCACGGCCTCTGAAGTCGTTTCAGCTGCTTGTTCCCCGATTTTACCGCGCACTTACCAACCCCAACGAGAGCAAATTTGTACGTACTCCACATTCTGGCTACTCATCGTTGACATTTTCCTGTTTCCTTCTTCAATACTATTCCTTCTTGGTGAGAATCTGTTTGACCAACTGCTATAAGTGGCTTGTTTTCTGCAGCATTGGCGCAGCCTTTTTGCACTTGGCCTTCTGTGCCGCTACGGCGCCAACGAAATTGAAGCCCTAGAGCCCTCGCTTCCAATCCCATCTATCCTTTCTGTTTTCAAGTCCTTCCTCTCGTCTCCTGAAGAAGAGCTTCAGCAGCGTGCCCTCCAGGTGCGTGGAGGTGCTTTCTTGGTTTTTGCTGCACTAGTTTGCTGTGCCAGTTATTGATTTTTTATGTCTTTTTGGTACTGTCTCATTTACGATGCAGGCCTTGGGTTTCGCTTTTATTGCACGGCCGCAAGAAATGGTTACGGAGGATGCTGCCCAGATTTTTGGAAATGCACTTCACATGGAGGCCCCAAGCAAGCAGAAGGTACAACACAGTGATTACTCTTTGAGGACTATAAAAGTGCAGTGCCCCTCCTGACTCATACTCAAAGATCACCAACCAAGTATGGATGACGCATATCACTTTGTTTTCCGTTTACAGGTGCAAGTTCTGAGGAGCTTTCAAGAGTATTTGACGGATGTGGAGGAGAAGATGGTGGAGCAGAATCGCCGGAAACTTCAAACCGAAGCAGCAGCAAAGAAGGCACAAGACGCTGCCAGGCATCAAAACACGGGAGAACTTCAGGAAGAAAGCGCCGAAGGAATTGGAGCAGGTGGAAGTTGCAGTGCTGCTGGGGTTGTGCCTGTGGCTGCAGGTGCGGGGGACACAAATGTGTGCAGTGGAGTCATTCAGCAGCATTGGGAAGCGATCTTGCAGTGCTGTATGGACATGGATCCGGACGTGAGACAAACAGCACTGAAGGTGAGCATCCATCACACCACGCTTTAATTGGGCGTATAACTGCGACCACGTTTTGTTGTTAAATTCTTGGTAAGCGAATCTGTGCTGTTTTTTTGGCAGTTGGTGGAGATTGTTCTGAATCAAGGGCTCGTGCTACCAGTCACGTGTGTTCCTCAGTTGATTGCTCTTCAAGTTGACCCTGATGAGACAACTTGGAAGACATCACACCACCTTTTATCACTGATCAATGACAGGCAAGCCATCCTTCACCTTATACGTCATCGTACTTGTACATGGAGTACACCATCTAACGATTCTGTTGAACATTGTTTGTGCAGGTGGGGCAACTATCGTTTCATCGAGAATCGGTTTACCGATGGCATGCGCTTGGCCTATGGCTTCATGAGGGCTCTCTCTGCTCATCCAACTAACACTCAGTTTAATCCAGCAATCAAGACCCCCTCTAAGTCAGATTCAAACTCTCCAAGAACAACTTCAAGCCCAGCAACTCATGCTGCCAATGCCAAACTTCTTGGGCTAGCTCGGGAAGGGTTGGGGCGTGTATACAAGCTGATCCGAGGCAACCGCAGTTCACGAAACAACATTCTCCTCTCGATCCTCAGGAAATTTGACTGTGTTGATGCGAGCAGCAGTATGAGCAACAAATTCGGCAGCAGCACTCCCACCAGCAGTCCTTCTACGAGCAGAGCACATCAAGAACCGCCCTCACCTTACAGTGTCACTCCTTCTGGAGCATTTGACATCTACTTTCTTGCGTAAGTGGCTACCATGCCTTCAATGCTAGTTTGTGTTAAGTGGCTTGGTTCTTTCTCGTCTTCTTACAATGCTGAGTTTTCGTTCTCTCCACTGTGGTTGCTGCAGGTTCTGTGCACAGGTGATTGCAACCTTTCCGTTTGCTCTCCCTGACGAGCCACTCTTCCTGGTTCATCACATCAGTCGTGTGGCCCACATGAGAGGTGGCTCTCTTCATTCTTCCATCAAGTACCTCTTCCGACCATCAAGCCCGCTCGGACCGTCTGTCACATCTGCTGTCAAGGCGATTGAAGAGGAGCAAGCAGCCCGGTGTGGGAATGCATATCGCATTACTGAGGAGGAGGAAGACGATGAGGAAGTGGGAGGCTCTCAGCCTATCGAGATCACCATTCCTGAAGGAGCATCCTGCTGTGGGAATGATCCACAGGAGCAGCAGGCCTTTCTTGATGGAGCTCTTCGAAGGCTCAAGGTAGTGTTGGGAAGGGCATCTTATTATCTGGAAGGCAGAGTGACAAGAGTGTGTGATTGATATTGTTTGAAATGTCTTTCTTTCTACGTGCTCGGTTTCTTATAATATCTTAACACGACCGTGCAGGATGATACTCGAGCTGCGATGGCTCTTTCCTTGCTTCTTCAGCTGAAGGGTTGGTTGAAGGCGGCATACTCCCTCACCGATGCACGATGCCTGGTAATTGTTCCCTTTTTTTACGACCACGCTGTTTCTGAACTTTGATTCCTTTTTTTTCTACTTGTTGTATGGAGTTTCTTGTGCACGCATGTTTTTCAAAAGCTGCTGTGGTTCGTTCAGGCTTACAATCCGAGCGAGTCTCAACGAAACACCAACAGTGAAGCCCTTGGACAACGGGCTCCAGGAGATCTTTCATTGCACAACCTTCCATTGGACATTTCCAATGATATGCGCCAGTTCATCCTGCAATATCAGGTGTGAATTAGATCCTTGGATCTTCACAAATGCAGTCTGGTTGTGAATGCACTTGCTTCTTGTCAGAGCAGTGGCTGCTCTAACACTTTGTATGTTTTTCGTACAGGCATTCAAGAGACTGATGAAGAATGAGTCTATTGGAGACTACACTGGTTTCACTGTTTCCACTCCAAGCAAGCCCAGGGGGGGAACCAAGGCTGCAGGAGGGTTTGCAGGGCCTACAGAAGGAGAAGAGGGTGCAATCGGGGGAGAAGCTGGCGATGCACCTTATAGTGCTCCAGTGCATGGAGTCAAGCGTAAGCGAGGGCGCCCCCCAAAGCCTGTTTCAGCTACTCCGCAAGGTGGAAGTGGGGATGAGTGGGATGCGTCTACACATAAGCCAAAGAGAGGAGGGAGGAAAAGTTACGCAATGAAAGCTCGACGACTTTCCCTGTGAAGGACGGAAGGGTCGTAGTCAGCCTCATCAATGGGCCAATTGCATACATATTTGGCGCTGAGAGCTGCTGCCTGATTCTACTGTACATATCTCGTGTTGCTTTTACTCACCCTCTAACGCTAACACTGATTCAAGTTTTGTGCCACTCAGTTTCTAGTATCGTACCATGATAGTCATTTGCTGAGTCATGTTTCTAGTAACGAAATACATTTTTGCCAGCTTTTCGTGAGTCAGATTTAGTAGCAAAAATAATGTACTTTTATTTAGTGAGCATTTCCTTGAACAAAACTAGGAGTAATAAATCATGCATATGGTTACAGAACTTACATGAACAAAGAACATGGATACCGTAGCTGAACACTACAGGTTCCTAAACACATCCACTATTTCGTCAGTGATCTTCTGCCCAAACAAACGAGGGAGATTACTGGTCAGATCTACTTGAATGCCACACTCCACAATCGCCTTATCTCTTGCCAGAAGCACGTGCTGCTCGTCTTCCCCTCCAACAGCTTTTGCACTGCCAGCAGCTACCAGCCATGAAGACAACACATCCTTTGCAAGAGGGGCAACAGTCTGTTCCACTGTTTCAGACAGCCAATCAGCACTCTCATGTGGACCTGCTGACTGTGACTGCTGCTGTGGGACAGCTCCAGAGTGTGCTTGCTTCTCATTGCTTGCTCTTGATTTGCCAGGAGAGGCGTCAGCCACTACAACAGTGCTGCTGCTGTCGCTGGTGGTGGTAGGAGTAGGCTTGAGCGAGAAGAGCAGCGCAGTGGGGGAGAGAGCAGCACGCAGGAAAAGTGTGGCTGGAGAGAATGGCTCAAGCCTCTTGTCAGCAGAACACTGTGGTGGCATGCAAGAATGCGCGGGAAAGTGGAAAGAGACAGTAAGAGGAACAGGGAATAGCATTATACGAAAGATGAAGAAACAAACAACAGTGAAGCAGCATCCTAGTTCTGGCTCATGCACGAGCGAATGCGTTAATGAGAATTAGAAGTGCACACCTGCGCCCACAGTCGAGCCAGCTGAGAAGTCTCGTAGACTCGCTGCCTGTGCTCTGCATCCGCTACAAGGTCCTTCCTTGCAATCACATCCATCACCACTGTCAGCTGGTTGAATGCTGCAAGAATCAAGAAAATAAGAGGAGCAGAAATGTAATACACAGTAAGCACTACAGAAAACCGGAATATACAAGGACGGACAAAGCTTGCCTTTCAGAGAGCCACCATGACGGGAGAACGACGGGACAGGGAAAAGGCAGGCAAGGTATGCAGCACAGACAGACACAGGTGAACACCAACGACTTTGATTGTGAATCGGTGCGTGAAATACTGGACCACGCTGGCAGCTTCCTGTAGCAAGCATTTAATATCCCCACACCTGTGGATACAGCAGGAGCCGGGGAGGCAGCGGTTCCCCCTCCAGCATCTTCAGCAGAAGCAGAAGTAGCGCCAGCAGCACTGGCAGCATGGGCAGCGCTAGCAGCATGAGCAGCGCCAGCGGTATGGGCAGCGCTAGCAGCATGGGCAGCATGAGCAGCTGCAGCGGAACCAGAGTGCTGCAACGTGGCAACAGCCGATTGGTCGACGGGAGGGCCGGAGAAGATAAATTCAAATAGCAGGTGGGGGGCGTCAGTGGCCGGTCCCATGAGCACTGTGAGCGTGGCGAAGGCGAGAGATGCCATGGGGAGCGGGCAGTGCAGCCACGATGCCAAGAGACGGTCCACCTGTGCATGGATGGGGGGCGGGCAAGGACAAGAGAAGGATAGGGTGGAGCAGGGAGAGGAGAGTGAGGAAAGAGTTGAAGAAACCGAAAATGGATTTTGAGACGAATTGAGCAACTGACAAACTGACAGCACCTGGCAGCACCTGACAGCGAACAACAGCAACCGACGGCAAGTGAGAGCGACGCAACTCACCTTCCGCCCCCCCGTGCTGGACGGCTCCTGTGCCGCCTTGCCTGCGCGCATGAGAATGGCCCCTGTCGACCTCCCGTCCGGGCTTTCAAATCGTTTCATAACACCGTCCGCCTTATCACCCCCCTTAGCACTACCAGCAACACCACCACCACCACCCGCTGCAGCACCACCAGCTGCAGCAGTGCCAGCACCAGTGTTCGATTCCATTCTCCCTCCCCGCTCAATCAATTCCTCCCCAATCGCCTCCTGTATCTTGTGCAGTATTGCTGACATCATCGCCGCCACGGCGGGTGGCACCGTGGACGAATCAAACGGCGCCACGACAGCAGCACCAGCGGTACCACCCCCGTGCGCAGCAGCAGCAGCAGCGCCAGCAACAGCAGCTGCTGTGACAGCAGCGGCAACGGCGGCGGCTGTGGAAGCAACGAGTTTCCTAGGCACCGGAAAAGAGGGGAGCGAAGGAGAAATAGAGGGGGAGGGCGGGTTGGCGAGGGGAGACGAAACGAGGTGGGGAGGAGGCGATGGGAGGGGAGAAGACGAGTCGCGACGGCGGTTCTGGTGGCTAGACGAGGAGCCAGAGTGATGGCTCGCCATGACGGGTGGTGTCTGTTGTCTGTGACGGAGCAGCAGCGGCAGATGCGGCGGATAAATCGGGTGTGGGCGTAGCGGCAAGCGTGGCCGTTGGTTCTTGATGCTGGTGATTGCAAAGCCGCGGGAAGCAGGAACGGCGCGTGAAGAAGCTAGGGAAGAGACAGAGCAGTAGGAGATAGCGGCCATAGAGGGAGTGACAGCCGAGAGGAGGAGGAGGAAATGAGTGCGAAAGCGTGAGCGAGTGAGCGAGCGAGAGCGCTGGGTGAGAGCGAGAGCGAGAGAGACCTCGGAGAAGTTCGCAATGAGGAGAATAACTAGAGCTCTGGATATTTAAATGCGTCCGACGTCGCACTTGAGACTACTCGAATTCTGGAAACGCGCGAAAATTCGAGGAAAAGGGAGGAAAAGGGAGCGAGAGGACGAATCACGGAGGATGAACCCGGCGAACGAGTGAGTCCAGGTTGACCGCTGCTCGCGAAGAGCGACTATTCCCTTTTAATGAAGCAGGCGATAAGTACGGTGCGTGAACTTCGACTGGTAATTCGAGCAAAAGCATCGTTAGCGACGCGAGGAACCAGGAACGACGAGCTTTCCCAGTGCGAGTTCTCGGAGACCTCGGGGACCACTGGAAAAAAAAAAGCCGCGCGACGCGACCAGCTTCCCTAGTGTGAAAGTGAACTAGAGTGCATGGCTCGTTCATTTCAAGAACCGCGAAACATTTCCTCATCTCAACATGTTCACGCTTTGGTTTGTTCTTCCCCCATTCCCCCATTCTCTATTCGGGCAGGTTTCGTTCATCCCAATTCTCAACGCGCCAGTTCTCAAGGCTGCGTTCTGCAGGCACGACAGAGGGGGGGGAGGCGAAAATAGGAACCTTCCCACAACTGCGTTTTTTGGATCAAACGCCCGGTCAGCCCGGAAAATGGATCCGAGCCTCCCGTTTACCCTCCGAACGTAAACGAAGGTAAATGGCAACAGAACAGCCATTTACCCTCGTGGATATGAGGGCGCAGGAAGCTGCCTATTTCCCCTCCCCACCTTCCTTCTCTGGCAAAATTTGCCTCCTTCTCCCCCCCTTTCGAAAACTGCTCTTGCCCGGGATGTGAGACGGAGGGGGGAGGGAGGTGCTGGATTAGGGAACACCACACTTGAACCCTGGAAAGCAAACAGCCCCTCCCTTGAGTAGCCCAAACAGGGACGCGTCAAACTAACAGGTAAAAAAAAACAGGCCAAACAGGGAGTGCAGGGTGGGAACCTTTTTTCCTACGTGGTAACCCTTCTCAAAATTTCAACGCTTTTTCTGATTTCGCGGAGCTCTATCTACCCAACTTCTGTGAGTTGGAAATTGTGGCTGTTTTTTCGGCATTTACCTTCAGCAGCTTCGCACCCTACACCCGAAATTTCCAACTTTCGGTTGTGGCGGGGGGGGTGGGGGATTCGAAGGGGAAACTGCCTTGGAACCCTCGTCATTTCCCTTCGTCCCCCACCTCCCTCCCAAGGGAAATGGCTACAGAACGCAGCAAATGGAAATACAACGAATGGGAAACCATGAAATCAAAACGCGGGAGGTTTTGCCCTATTCTTCACCTCAATCGACGGCTGCAAGTCAATCAGTCAATCGATCGTAATGAGATCAGCGGCCGTCTAGACGTGTCTGCTGCTCTGATTTGGTGTGTGTTGGTCAGGTGACCGCGACAGCGTAGGACGTGCTTGGCTCTTGTTCCCGCTAACAAGCTGGAAGAGGAATGCTTAGAAACTCCTTACCAACTATACGGTACTAACAATACTATAACACCCAAATCAAACAATTGTCTCAAAGGCACCTCACTAATCCATACAAAGGGAACAATGTCTATATAACATAAGAGAGCTCCACAAACAAAAACAAAAGAGCCCACCAAAACCAGCACCCCAACTATTGGCACAAAAACAGTATGCAAGCTCATGGCCAACATAATCTGTGGCTTTTACAAGCTATTGCTAGTCCAGTCATAAGGCCGGAACTGCAAACGCACCGCCTTCCCAGCAGCCAACGCACCCTCCACCTGAGCCCTCACTTGTGCTTTAAGAAACGGCAGTGTCCACCGCACCTTTGCCTCCTCATTCTCTCCGAAATCCACCCCATACCAATCCAACAACTTGGTTACCTCTAGCACCAACTCACCTCCCACTCCATCTTTCTCCTTCCCTCCACTCTTCTTCCCATCCACCACCACCTGCGCATCCCCTTCCAGAAACGCACCAGCAGCAGTATCCAATTCACTGTCAATTGCATCCCCAGAAAAGAGACGAATCGGAGGGCACGACCGCGCACCGCAGTTCAGTGCAAAATGGATCCTCGGGTCGGCGGGCGGCAGCGAATAAAATCTTCGCGGATCCGACCCTCCAAACGGGCGCTTTCCAGGAAAGAACGGCAGCCCGGTGGTTGCGCGGTTACCGCGCAGAATCCCGTGCTCGATATCGTCAAGAGAGAAGGTATGCCCGGCGATGAGGTAGGAGGAGTGTGAGAAGAAGCGCTTGCGTTCGAGGGCGGATTCGGGGGGGCCGAGTGCGAGCGTGGCGTGCAGCACGAGGGAGTTATAAATGTTGATCCAGAAGGCCTTGCGGTGGGGCCGCGGCAGAGCAAGCACGTCCACCTGGAAGCGCGTGCGGAGGAGGGAGGGGTTGATGGGGAAGGGGGAGGGAGGGGGCGGGCAGTTTCATGATAACTTATCATGCGGGGAGGAAAAGAAAACCACAAAGAAGTCAAAATAGGTCGTAGTGGGAATTTGGTGCGATGGGACGGTACGGAGTGGGACCTCTTGTGGGGGGGTGAGGGGCGGAAGGGGGAGGGGAAGAGGATATGGACGCGAGTGCATGGGCGTGGACGATATCAATGAGTATTGCGAAAACAAATGGATGAAGCAATTGCCGATGTACAGAAAGTCGCACCAGATTGAGCATGGAATGCACAGGAAACAAGCATACATTCATGCATGGCAGCATAGATGCATGCATCAAGCACACCACTCACCTTTTGCAGTTCCGCAGCGGCCCGCACATACTCCTTGAATGCATCCGACGCCGCCAGACGCTTGTAGCTCACGCCACCCCCATCCAGTGACAGTGCCTCCTCATACATCCCCACAGTTGCCGCCCGCAGCCCGCTAGCAACAACCGACGCCGCCCGCGCAGGCCGGAGGAAGATGGGGCGCGCGTTAAGCGCGGTGCTTTCGGGCAGCTCGTCGGGCAGGAGGCGGAAGAAAACATTGGGTTTGTTGGTGAAGGGCTGTGAGTAGGTGATGTGGTGAATGAGATCGGCTGCTGCCAGTCTCTCTGCCAACCCCACCGCTGCTGCTTCACCGTCTCCCTCTGCGTTTTCTGGTGGAAGCATGTTCGCTTTGAGCCATGCAACAATGGCAGCACCAGACACCACGTTCTTGTGCGCTCCCAACAGGCCCTCCTTCACCTCCTCTCGCCTCACCCCTCCCTCCCCCTCCCCTGCTGCCATCTTCTCAAACACTGCTATCAGTTCCCGACTCAATCCAGGCCACACCTCCGCCCCTCCTTCCGCACCTCCTGCTGCCCCTGCCGCCGCTGCTGCCCCTGCTGCTGCTTCTGCGTCTGAGTCGCTCGCTGCAGCAGGTTTGAGGCTGAGCAAAGGAATGAGGGCCGGCGGGAGTGGGTCGGGGGGGGAAGCAAGGAGATCCTGTATCTTGTTGCTGGTCACAAGCTGTGTGTGAGGGATACAGAGGGATACAGAGAGAGAGGAGAACGAAACGGGGGAAGCAGGGGAGGGGGAGTGAGAAGGGGAGCGAGCGAGGGCAGGGGAAAGAGGAAAGGGAGAGAAAGACAAACACGCTGAGGAAAAAATTAGAGGGGATGTGGCGCCATGGATTCAATGAAGTGGAATGACAGTCTGGCAAGTAGCACAATGGAACTTGCGCTCAGGTAGGGGGGAGGGAGGGGGGGTATTGGGGAACATGAATAGCATGGCAAGTGCATGGCACGGTGGAGCATATAAAAAGCTGATAGAGACACCACTAGTCTCCATCACACCACCTGCTCCAGGTCGTCAAATCCGCCAACCAGCCGCCCGTCAACGTAGATAACAGGCACTGTGCGCATGCCTGACGCCTCCGCCAGCGCCGCTCGCGCCTCTGCTGCTGAAACCACAGCAGCGGTAGCGGCAGCATCGGCAGCGGAGGCAGCGGGAGAGGGGTTATCGAGGGCGACAGAGCATTCGGTGTATTCGAGGTCATTAGACGCGAGCAGCGCCTTGGCTTGGCGGCAGTAGCGGCATGCGGGGACGGTGAAGATTAGGATGGGCGGAGGCGGGGATGACGGAAGCATGCTGCTGCTGGCGGCGGCGGTGGCGGTGGCGGTGGTGGTGGGAGAGGTGGAATGCGGTGGAGGTGCGGTTTCAGCAGTACCACCGTTGGTGCTGCTGTTGGCCTGGAGGGATTATGTGGGGAGGATAGAACGGGGAGAGTGTGTCGTACACAAGGGTTTCTTTATACGATGCATAGAAACACGTGTGTGCGGAAAGAACGCATTAACATAGGATAGAATAACACGCGGGACTGAAATTTTACCATGACTACGCGACGCTCGTTCGAGGGACGACTTAGCCCAACAGCGGCGGAAGACGTGCGCAAACGGAGGAGCTCGCGCGTTTTAATTCCCCGCGGAAGCAGCGGCGCCGAGTGGCGGAGGCGCAAGAGCGCGGAAGGATTCGGGTGCAGCTGCGAGGGGGTGACGCATGCGCAGGCATGCGCAAGTGAATGCATGGATGCAGCCAGCAATGATTGCCGCAGAGGCCGCTTTGAGCGAGGAAGCAGACGGGATGGGTGGGAGAGAAACGAGGATACTCAGTGTTGAATATCTGAGGACCTAGAGATTTGCCTGAAATTGTAGTGTGTTGGGCTCCAGGTGTCTGGGCCGAGCTCCAAGTTAATCTCCGCTATTGAGTTTCATTCGGTCCATCCAACTTTCACGACAGCTGACATATTTACTACAGCGCCGATTTCAGCGTAACAATACTCGTGAACATAATTAGAATCCTAGTTAATTGAGACCACCAATCACGCCCGAGCTCGAATCGGACCACCAATCACAGCCCGCATGTTCCTCCCCACCCCACTGCTCCTTCCTTACCCGTCTCGCTAACGGCACGGGGTCCGTAATCTCTCTTCTGACCCGACACTTCCTCGCAAAACGCCTTCCCGAGCCGCATTTCGGACTCCAAGCAGGTTCGATTTGTATAAAATTGAATTCGGCAGTTCCCAAAGCATCACTTCAGCAACTCCCTTTGTTGTGCCTTCTCCCATTCAATCCTACCATCAGCTCCTTGCAAGAATCCAGCTTCCACACGTTGGTCTTCGGATATGAGATCTCTCGCGTGTTCCATGGGAAACCGACGCCTCATCCCGCTGGTTCTCTTCCTCATCATCGGGACATGCACCGCTCACTCTCGCGCAACATCCCGCCGCGGACTCTCAGCCATCAACTCCAGCCCGTCATCATCTGAGGCAAACGGCGATGTTGTCTCATGGAAGGTCTCTAGTCGTGAGCCTGATTTTACCACTAGTAACATGGCACCTCAAGACGACTTCAAGGCAGATACTCGGCTTACAGCTCGAACCATCCATGCCGGCCAAGCGCAACGTCGCTCGCGCAACAGCGGGGTCGCAGCAGCCCACGGCGGCGATACTCGCGCCACATTCCGCATGGCCAGCAGCAGCGACGTGACGATTCGCCATCACAATTCTCCCGGAATTGGTAGATGGACGGTTCGCGATCAGGGCGGCAGCGGCACGAACGGCGGCGCTGGAAGGCGCCTTCCTACTGGTGGAAGCGCGCAGGACGGAGCGCTTCATCATGCGACGCGCGGCAGCGCACAACGGCATCCCTCAAGGGGCGGTTCGTCCCACCAGCTGCAGCGCAACGGGCGGCAGCAACAGCACGTGGGGTTCCACATGGCGACAGCGGAGGACGTGGCGCTGCCGCGACACATGGCGAGGAGCGACGACGAGTCGTCATTCGCGCGGGCTGCGGATAGCAATTACGGGATGAATCGTGGTGGCGCGAACTACTATCATGGTGACGACGAGTACCGCGGGAGTGACCACGCCGGGGATGACAACAACGAAAATGATAACAGAAACGAGAATAACAGCGGCGGAGATGGACGACTCGACGTGAATTGTGACGGCGAGGGCAGCAACGGCGGAGGAGACGCGAGCAACGGCGGAGGAGACGCGAGCAACGGCGGAGGTGACGCGAGCAACGGCGGAGGTGTCGCGAGCAACGGCGGAGGTGACGCGAGCAACGGCGGAGGTGACGCGAGCAACGGCGGAGGTGACGCGAGCAACGGCGGAGGTGACGCGAGCAATGGCGATGGGGGCAGCAGCAGCGGCGGGGGCAGCGGCGGCGTGGACGTAGCAGCAATTCTTGAGGTGCACAACAGGGCGCGGCAGGAGGTGGGGGTGCCGGACCTGGCATGGGACGACGGGGTGGCAGCAGCCGCGCAGGATTGGGCGAACCAGCTGGCAGGAAGAGGGTGCCCTATGGAGCATGGCGGCGCGGGGGGCCTTGGGCAGAACCTCTACTGGCGCACACCCGCGGAGCTCACCCCTGAGGAGGACCGCATGGCGGTGCAGGCGTGGGTGGGTGAGAAGGCGGACTGGACCCCCAGCCCCATTCCCGACGGGTGTGCGGAGGGCAAGATGTGCGGGCACTACACGCAGGTGGTGTGGCGGGACACCACTCATGTGGGCTGTGCCTCTGCGCAGTGCCCTGATGGTGGTGGCATGTGGGTGTGCGACTACTCGCCCCCGGGCAACCTTGTCGGATCCATGCCGTTCTAGAGCAGAAATTTGAGTGGAAGTGATGTTGGAGGGAGAGGGTGGCTGCTTGGCTGGCGAGGGTGACCAATTCTGCTCGTGGAGAGGAGTTAATGTGGGGAGGTTGGTTTGCTCTTGTAGATTGTTTGTGTGGAGTGCAATTCTGTACCTGTGTTGTTTGACGGTAAATTGAGCTGATGGCAGCCAGCTGACAATAAACCACCCAAACCACCTAGCACTGCACTTCAAGTGCACATGGGAAGGGAACAAGCCAGACTTCACATTTCTTTGGATACCTCCAGAACTATTGCTGGCCTTGCTACCGTAAATCTTTGAACATTGCATTTATTCCCCACCTCATATAGTTACCGGTACACAATTATAATCCCCCATGTTTCAATTATACACGTCTCGTCGTCTTCATGTCATGCCCTTTGTACTGATAGTACATAGTCCAATCCAATCCCGGTCAAACGGGGGTGAGATATCCAAGGGAGGAGAGAAGGGTGAAAATAACTTCCGTATTGTCCAGCCATTGCTATAACTTTGGGAGGCCAATTCACCCCAGGGCCGGTTTCTCCTCTGGTTGAACTGCCGTATTGCCCGAAGTGTTTGGAAAACGAACTTCTACAAGCGCGTACACCACTTGCACCACACATCCTTCCACCTCCCCCCCGCGCCGCTGAACTTTCCCTTGATCCCAAGCGAGTGTCACTTTCCCCAACAACCTTGGAGTTTGCCCTCCACCTCCCTCTCTTGCGCCCACAGCGCGCTGGGCGAAAACCCTCGGGGTTTTGCAGTGGATTAGAAGGTGTCTCATGTGACTGGTCCACCCCGAACCGGTCCGTTGCCAAAATGTGCACGCCTGGTCCGGAATTCTGGTTCGACGGACCCACTTCGCGGACCAGGCGTGGAGCAGACACGGACTGGTCCACATGATACGTCGCGTCATTGGCTGTGGCGATTTTGCGAAAAGCATTCCAAAATCGAGTTACCTTCCTCTGTGCGAGGTAAATGTTTCCATGCAGTAGATCGCGTAATAACGAAATTAGAGAATTTCGCAGCTCAAACTTGGATCTGCTACAAAATTCGGACCGGCCACGGACTGGTCCGCCAACCACACAGTCGCACTGTTGTAACGGGTTTAAAGCACCCGCATCCCGGTCCAGTCCGTCGCTGGTTCAAGTGCTGGTTCTAGAGCTGGTCCGTCGGGTCCGCGTCGGACCCACGTGGACTCGCTCATTTGAGACACGTCCTTACGTTTGACGAGCCTATCAATCAATCAACGAAACGCTACGGAAATGCATCTTGTATAGAGCTTAGAGCAGCCTAAAGCTTACCTTCTTCCCACTCCTCGTGACCCGGGCCCGGCTCGACTCTCCTGTTGGACCCTCGGGGTTCCATCACCAAGTCTAGCATTCTCGCTGGTGCCTCCCCCCCGGCAATTCATTATCGCCTGCTAGTGTTCACTCTCGTGGTACTCAAACACGGCGGTATAACGTTTCCCCGGAAAACACAATCACCTATGCCAACCATCTGCAAGCCTCTCGTTGGCGTGGCTTCCACGTCTCCCCTAACGCCCTCCGCGATAGCGCGCGCGCTTGCTCCGCGGATCCTTTACCCGCGGACCCCTACCACCATTGCCGGCGCTGTCACCGCCGCTGCCAACGCCCTCGCGTTATCATCGAACAGAGGAAACCAGTTCATATCCAACAAATCATCCCAGTGCGCATTACAAGCTGACTACACCTTCCCGTGTCTCTCTTTTCTTCAAACCGGATACCGTCACTTCCGATCGCGTCGTTCGTGCGCCGTAGCGCCAGAAGCTACTGCGCACTCTTCGCGTCCCTCCTCCCCTGCTGCAGCCATGGCACCCCCGACAATCATCTCCGACGCCCGTCCCCCCGAAGGAGTTAACCTATCAGACGAAATTCCCGCGACCGTGCCGCCACACTCAGCAAATGCCGAACCAATCGTTTGCGACCAACCCCAGGATTCAAGTCCGGGGACCTCTGCGCCGTTCAAGAAACAGCGCGTCGCTGGCGCCGCGTCTGATGCGCCAGACGGCGGCGGCCCCGTCCCCGCGGGTGCAGACGGCCCCAACGCAACGGCCGCTGCAACATCCGCCGCAGCTGCAGCCGCCCCCGCTGCGGCAGTGAGTACACCAGCCGATGTACCAACCTCCGCACCAGCCGCCGCCATCCCCGCGTACGTGCCGCCGCCGCACGTGGAGGCGGCGTGGGCGCACTTCCGCCGGCTGGGATCTCCGCGGCTGCTGGTGGCGCCGATGGTGGACCAATCGGAGCTGCCGTTCCGGCGGCTGTGCGCCAAGTACGGCGCGCAGGGCGCGTACACGCCGATGTTCCACAGCCGGCTGTTCGTTGAGGATCACAAGTACCGGCGGGAATTCACCACTTGCCCGGTAAGAGGGGGACGGGTTACGAGAGGGAAGGGGTAGGGGGGGGGATTATGAGAGAGGGGATGGGGTAGCGGAGGGGGAGAAAGAAGGGAGGAAGATGGAGGGGTTGAGACGGGGAGTGATGCTCTGAAGGAAAGGACATAGTTGATTTCTGGTTCACCTTCGTTGCGATTTCGTCTTCTCCACCCCCTTCCCCTCCCATCCTCCCCCATCTCCCCCCCCAATCCCCCTTTTCTCCGCTGTTCGCGCTCACCTCGACTCCTGGTCCCTTACCGCCATGCTTCTTTTGAAACGCACTGTCTGCCACACCTCACGCGCACGGCCCATACGTTAGTAGAACTTCACGGAGTAAGAGGTTGTTCTCTTCTCTCTCTCTCCCTCTCCCCGCGTGTTTGTCCGTCTTTACCCTTCAGGAGGACCGCCCGCTCTTCGTGCAGTTCTGCGCCAACAACCCCGACACGCTAGTGAAGGCCGCGTCTCTCGTCGCGCCAGATTGTGACTATGTCGATATCAACTTCGGGTAAGATTATCAACTCCACCACCCCGATCGATGAGCTCGTGAGGCCACGCGGTAGAAGCAGCCACGTGGTCAGTGATGTGATGTGATGATTGTTGGGTTGGGCCCACCTCCTCTCCACTCGCTCTCACCATCCATTTTGCCTCTCCTCTCCTTTTCTCCTCTCTCCATTTCCCCTCTCTCCTCTCCCTCGCATCTTCAGCTACTCATTGCACATCGCCCTGTCCATTTCCTCCGCCCCCGCCGCCCCCCGTTTTCCCGTTTTTCTCTCCCCCCCGTTTCCCCCCATTTCTATCCTATTCTCTCCTTTTTTTCTCAACCCCCCCACTCCCCTCCGCCCCATTCTGGCCCCTCTCCCTCCTCCCGCACCTCGCCCCCTCTCCTTTCCCTCGATGCAGCTGCCCGCAGCGCATCGCGCGTCGCGGCCGCTACGGCGCGTTCCTAATGGACGACCTCCCCTTAGTCGAGTCCCTCGTGTCCGCGCTCTCCGCCGCGCGCCTCCCCGCGCCCGTCTCCTGCAAGATCCGCGTCTTCCCGGACCTCGCGCGCACCATCGCGTACGCGCGCATGCTGGAGGCCGCGGGGTGCTACCTGCTGGCCGTGCACGGGCGCACGCGCGAGCAGAAGGACGGGAAGAAGGTGCGCGCGGATTGGGAGATGATCCGGCGCGTGAAGGAGTCCGTGTCGATTCCTGTGATCGCGAACGGGAATATTAGGGATTTGGCGGATGTGGTGGAGTGTTTGGAGGCGACTGGGTGTGATGGGGTGCTCAGTGCTGAGAGCTTGCTGGAGAATCCGGCGCTGTTTGGAGGGTATCGGGTGGATGATGGGGTGGAGAGAGGGCAGGCGAATGGGGGAGAGGAGGGTGGAGCGCAAGTTATAGTGGCGGAAGCAGCAGCAACTGAAGCACCAGTAGCAACAGACGCAGAAGCAGCAGCAACAGAATCAGCAGCGGCAGAAGCAGCAGCGCCAGTGAGATCGGAAGCAGCAGCTGAAGTGCAGCGGCTGCTAGCAGCAGCAACTGCAGCAGCAGCAGCCTCAGGCGAATCAAGCAGCAGGGGCCATCTAACCATCGACCGAATCACCCTCGCACAGGAATACTTGACTCTGTGCGACTCGCATCCTGTTCCCATGCGCATGGTAAGAGCCCACCTGCACCGCATGTTGGGGCCTGTGTTCTCGCGGCACCCGCACATTAGAGAGAAGCTCAATAAGGAGTACAAGCTGACTGTGCCGTGGCTCCTGGATCTTGTGGGGCAGCTGAGGGCGTGTGAGAAAGGAGAAGTAGGGGCGGAGAGAGCAGGGGACGGGACAGCTGCTGGTGGCAATGATGCTGTTGCTGCCCCCGGTGCTGTTGCTGGAGATGTTGCAGGGGCTCTTGGTAATAGTGCGCCAGATGCAAGCCATGTGAATGGACAGGCAGTAGCTGTGGCAGGGCTTTAAGTGACACTGCAGCACTTGATTTTTTTGTCTCTTGGCAGTCTTCGGGAGTTGGGAATGGTTACGGGTACCATTTTATTGGTTAAAACTTTCAGCAGATTCAGATACATTATCTCACTACTTGCAATGCAAGGTACCTTACATGAATATGCTTACTGCACTGCCTGCAATGGGTGCATGCAGCAGAAGATTGGGATCCTGTTAGCCTCCCTGCTGCTGCCGCCGCTGCTGCTGCTGCTGCCGCTGCTGCTGCTGCACTGCAAGCATGTCCAGGTGTGCTGTACGGTACATGCAAAAAAGAACTACCGTACTACCCTGTAACAACACTATCAAGCTGCTGGCTCCCATCCCATCCCATCCCATGCTACAGCTCTGACACCAAACCAAACCGTATGCTCTACTTCTGAGGCGCCTCAAAAACCATTACCTGAGGCGCCTTGATAAGCCACCTACCGTACTACCCTGTACACCACACTACTGTCATGCTGCTGGCGCCCATGCTCCATCCCATGCCACAGCTCTGCAGCAGCCAATAGCTCTCCTCTATCCCCAGGCCCTGCACCAGGGCGATATCGTTCGTACTGTTAATATGGGTTGAGAGTACCACGTGAACCACCCTCGCACAACCTTTCCCCCCCTCTACCTCTTCCCTGCGCATCTGCCGCTACAGAGTGCTCTCCAATGCGGTGCTGCACGGTGCAGTGCGTTTCACTGCGGCGCAAAAGCGTGGCGTTGGATGGCTTGGGCGACAACAGCAGGGTGGGTGAGGTGGGGGAGATGGCCCTGCGTGGGTAGCACCTCCATGCACGCACCAGGTATGGCCTCCCTCAGGTACTCACTCACTTGCACTGGCACTGCCGCGTCTGCTCCTGTTGATAGAACTGTCACTGGGCATGACACCTGGAGAGGCAACAGTGGAGCAGGAACGAGTTGCAGTGTGAAATGGCGAAAAGCAAAATGACGATTTAGGAATGCAAGGAGAAGAAGGGGAGGAGAGTGGGGAGGGGAGGGGGGAAGGTTGATGAAAAGCAACACGTCTTAGTCTTAGACTCTCAAAGACAAGGAATAGAGTAGGCTTTACAATAACAGCCCGACACTAGCACACTCCTTGCTCGTCTCACCTCGTCCTCCTCCGCTCGTCACCCCGCTCCTCCCACCCGCAACACAACCCACGACCACCACCAGCAATGCACCCACCCGCCCCAGGAGGTGCCGGAAGTCGGACTGGAAAGCAGTTCGGAGCGTGCTGAGGGCGATATCCGGGCGCACTTGCAGCATGGTCTCACTGAACTCGCGCACCTCCCTGCTGCTGATGTCCCGCCCCACCATGAGCGGCGCGAAGCCCGACACCCATGCGATGTAGTTCTCGCGCACTGCCATGAAGATCTGGTCCAGGTCTGGGGGGTTGAAGCCGCCAAGGTAGCCTGAGGATAGATCATTGAGGTATCTGGCCGTGGGGACGGAGAAAGGGGAGGAGAGAGGGGAAGAAGGGGACATGATGATGGTTGTGGATGAGTGTGAAGGGGACCCGGAGGAACAGTGGGATATTGCTGTACCAAGAAACGACAAGCAAAGCACAGGGAAGCAGCCCCACACCACCACCGTGCTACCGACTTTCCAGGCTTAACCACGCACCTGGGCGAGGACCCAAGCAGCAGCAGCCGTCGGAACGCGCTGGGTCTCTCAAGACTCGCGAGCAGCGACACCATGCCGCTCACGCTGTGCCCCACAAACACCACGTCGTCCTCTGCGCCGTGGCCCAGCTTCCCCTGCTCCCGCAGCTCCTCCAGCACCTCGAGCAGGTCGTCCGCGTGCGAGCACAGCGAGGCGTAGCGCTGGAAGTCGTAGGAGGCGGCGGGCGTGCTGAACGCGCCCATGAGGTCCCACAGGACCACGCGGAAGGAGCGTTGCAGGTCCAGGTGGGACAAGACGCCGTCCCAGATCTGCCCGGAATGTGAGCATGATATGATGGAGGGGGAAGGGGGGAATGGGGATTAACTTCTTAGCGGCAGTCGCGTCAAGGTCGAGGTTGCGTTTACAGAGAAGCACGCGAGACATGTTGTGTGTGAGCAAGCGAGAGCGTGGTTGATGAGGCGACAGGAAGGGAGTAGTAGGGGCGCGAGTTGCTACCTTTTGGTTGGTGCCGAAGCCGTGCGACAGCAGCAGCGTCGTCTTGCCGGTCCCGATGACCCTCACGTTGTGGCGACGCAGCGGGCAGTCGCACACCGCGTCGCCCGGCGACGACGCCGGCGACGCCGTCGTCTTGGTCGTCGCCTTGACCGGCGAGGAGGAAGCCATGTTAGTTGGCCCTCTCAATCGGCCGGAAGAGGAGGAGGACGTGAAAGAGGAGGAGCGGGAGGAAGTGGAGGAGGAGGAGTGGGGGGAGAAGGAGGAGCACGACTTATCGTCAGTGCTGAACGATGACGGGAGCATTGATGTCGACATGGTTCGTGGCATTGGTGACGGGCGATGTAACTATGCTCGGGACCGGCGGTAGAGACAGAACCGAGCTGTTGAATTGAAGAAAGAATCGAGCACGATTCTTCCAAAGGGCGGAATTTTCCCGAAAGAATGACGACTGGCTGACCCAACAACTCGTAGGTAAATCTGCGAGAATTCCCGAAGGAATTGAGCACGCGACAGTCGGTATACTGAGCGGATCAGTCTGGTCTGGATGTACAAGCCAAGTGGGGTAACGCGGCCGACAGTGCTCCATGGCGGAGGTGCGAGACTGAGTTCAGCGAAGCGCAGGAATGCCTAGAAAGGACATAGCAGACGAGATGGCATTCGTTGGTGCCAGCTAATGGAAGGACATGTGGCCACTATCGACGCGCAAAACCTGAGGGGATAGATTCGAGCTGACGCGACAAGTGAGGGAAGATGGATATGTTTGATTTATACGAGTGGTCGAAACTTATGGGGCAGGGTGAGGAGAGGATTCCTCCTATTGAGAAAGATACCGAAGCGAGATAAGCACGTGAATCATGAAGGCGTGGTTGTGGAGGAGAAGGAAATGGTTATCTGAAGGACAAAAAACCGCCTCGTCTCGTCGTCAGACATGGAGGATGCGCACGATATTGCCGCTATTGTTCGCATGTTCCTCACAAATAAGATATGTCACCTTCTGATATTGGAATATCTAATAAATGTGCCTGGATTCCTGGTCATATTCGTGAAAAAATATAGCAATGGAAACTAGGTTAAAATGGTCTTCATAAGATGGTCCTTTATTAACTGTCAGACAATTTTCCTTTTCATACAAGACTTTGTTAAAATAGTTACGTATATATGATATATATTTACAAACGTGTATTATATAGTATATATATCTTATCCAAGAATTTCATGGAGTCTTCATAATCAAAATTATAAGCAAAATATGTATTTTCTATTAAGTTCATAATCAATATCATACAAACATTATCTTGGAAAATTGCGGACGATCAATTATAAAGTGTACGCATGTACGTACTTAGATGATTTTATGGTTTTATTAATATTGTTTTTTTTCGGCACACCATGTTTGTGCGTCTGCTAGATTTTCCATGATATTAGAAGAAAATGTTAGGCATGGGTGGCGGAGAAGAAATAATTAGGGTATGTAACATCCTGAAATGTTAAAACAAATTGACTTATAATGCAGTTGCAATAGGTCTATTTGTCTTTTGCTATGTTTTCGTTAAACTATAGTACGTTGCAGAGAGGTAATGGTCCAGAATTTTTCTACTTGTATGTTGGCTTAGGGTCGGCTATGTCAAATGTCCAATCGGGAATACCCTTGGCTGGGGCACTCCATGTGGTAGATCACAAAGAGCTTCATATTGTGAAGCCTCCTAACGAGAACACCAAACCCGAAAATATATGTGAACTACGAATATGTCAAAATTTGAACTGTATCAAGCCACACGCGCCGCTCTCGCAAATCCCGTCTAAAATTGGCAACGGTGCGTGTGGAGGAATCTCGTTTCGTTTTGAGCCACCCTGACATTTAAGGGTTCAGCCAGGTTGCGGGTGAGAAAACTCGGGTAGTTTCAGGGTGTTTCGGCCGGATACCGGATTTGAGGCAGGTTCATTTTTCCAAGAGCCCTGCATTGCAGGGTTCAATTTTGATGAACACTTCCACTGGTGGTGAGTACCTACAAAACTGAATGGACCAGAATCCTACACCCCACACATGCCTGGACGCTCACTCGTTCTACCTCTCAATCGCAACTCTTTGCTCTGCGAGTCTGTTTTCAAGCCCAGTTTGTGTCTCCCGAACCAGAACACTCAGGGAGTCCGCTGTAGCGCAGACAGCAAGTGTGACATTCCTGTTTGCTCTGCATGTCTGTGTCCGAGCAGCCATATTTTTTATGCTTTCGCCATATTTGTGGGTGCGGAGATTTACGAAATATATTGGTTGGAGTGTGGACATTTTGTTTGGTTCGTGCCAGAGAACTATTATACTAATCATTTCTTTGATATGACAACTAGTGTGTGCGTGGTTGCGGTACGAATTGCCAAACCCGGATTGATCCGCGTAAAAATAACAGCCCACCCGGAAATCAGCCGGAACGTAATCGGGTAGGACCCAGTTTGGTAGTACTGGCCCGAAATCAGCCATGTTTTTCGGGGTAATCCTTGTACAGCACTCTGCAAAGGGGCCCTGGTGCGTGTGCCCCAGACGCTGAGAGCACATTGGAACTGTACCTTTGTTCACGTGACACGGAATTCGCTGCGATCAAATCAAAGCCTACGAAAAGGTTTGCGACAACGAAGCGCAACTAATCGCATCGAATTGAAGTCCCCTCACCTGTCAGATTTATATGACATAGCTACTGTAGGCTATAGTGGGGTAGCACATATGGGGTACAGTTTTCTAGGGTTTACATTTGTACCCAACTTTCCCTTAGTCATTTTTCATTCCTCGTTTCTTCTCATGGTATCGAGCAGGTTCCCTAGTGGGAACGATTCCTAGGGCCCACCACCACGAATTTTTTTTTTCCTGCCCGGAGCGCGCTTCGCTCCGGCCCGAGTCGCGCCCTGTGTGCTCTCCCTACCGTCGTGCCCTCGCTAGGCCCCTCACGGCCCCGTCGCGTCGCCCTTAGCGGCCCTCTCACGGCTCCCTAGCGCCGCCCTTACGGCTCGTCGCGCCGCCCTTACGGCCCGTCGCGCCGCCCTTACGGCCCGTCGCGCCCGTCGCGCCGCCCTCACGGCCCCTCGTGCCGCCCTTACGGCCCGTCGCGCCGCCCTTACGGCCCGTCGCGCCCGTCGCGCCGCCCTCACGGCCCCTCGTGCCGCCCTTACGGCCCCTCGTGCCGCCCTTACGGCCCCTCGCGCTACCCTTACGGGCCCTCCCGCGGCCCCTTCGGCCCCTCCCGTCGCCAGTCGGCCCCTTACGGCCCCCTCGCGGCCCCTCGAGCCGCCTTCCGCGGCCTCCTCACGGCCTGTCGCCGCCCTCGACGGCCCCTCGTGGCGCCCTTCACGGCCTCTCCGCCGCTCTTCGCGGCCCCTAGCGGCCGGCAGCCGCCGTCCCTGAGGCAGCAGCCGCAGCCGTCTCTGCAGCAGCAGTCGCCACAGCTTCTGCGACTGCTGCCGCGGTCGTCACCAACCACACCAGCCGCCGAACCGCCCAGCAGCCGAGCACCCGAGCCGCCGAGCCGTCCTGCAGCCGAGCAGCCGAGCCGCCGAGCCACCGAGCCGCCCAGCAGCCGACCGCCGAACCGCCCGGGCCGCCGAGTTGCCGAGCCGCCCGAGCCGCCCGAGCCGCCGAGCCGCCCGAGCCGCCGTGTCGCCGACCCGCCGTCCTGCCGAGCCGCCCGAGCCGCCCTGTCCGGTAAGAGCAGCGCCTCTATCACTGCACTGCCCTTACCCTACTGTTCGCACTGCTAGTCTACTGCTGTCATGGCTACCCCTAGTGTCCTCGCCTTTGACGCTGAGGGTCGGGCCATTGACTTTGACGTCTGGGTAGATGACCTGCAGCTTTTCTTACAGTGCGATAGGGCAGACGGTCTCTCCCTCTTTGACCTCACCTCTGGTGCCTCTCCTGCCCCTGCTGCTGATGCCGACGCCACTGTTCGCTCACAGTGGGCCACACGCGATGCTGCTGCACGTCTAGCTGTGCGTCGCCACCTGCCTACCTCTGAGCGTGCGCACTTTAGCCAGTACAAGAGTGCTCACACCTTGTACGACGCTGTAGTTGCGCGCTACTCCTCTTCCCTGACCTTGCTGCCTTTCCCACAGTCGCTGACCTCATTACGCACCTCCGCACTAGTGACACTCGCTACCGCGCTGCGCTTCCTGCTGAGTTCTGCGCCAAGAACCCCCCCCCCCCATGTACATCACCCTCTACTACATAGTCACCCGGCTCCCTGACTCCCTTCGCGTAGTCAGGGACCACTTCCTCTCAGTTTGCCCCACCACTCTCACCGTTGACCTCCTCGAGAAGGCCCTCCTAGCAGCAGAGAAGAGCATAGTCGCTGTAGGAGCCTCTCGTGGTGACCCTCGCACCCCCGTCTTTGAGGGGTGTTCCCCCTCCCCCCTTTTGCCCTCTGTTGCCTCTGCTGCTGCGGCCGACCTCGTTGGTCTCGAGTCGGTCGGCGCTGCGTCTGCCCCGAGCGGGAGACGCCGCACCGGCAAGGGCAAGGGGGGCAAGGGTGCTGGAGGGGCTGGCGGGGGTGGCGGAGGTGGCGGTGGCGGCAGTGGAGGGGGTGGGGGTGGTGGTGGGAGTGGTGGCGGGGGTGGAGGTGTCGGTGGCGGCAGTGGAGGCGGAGGCGGCGGCGGCGGTGGCGGTGGGAGCGGAGGTGGCGGAGGTGGCGGCGGTGGAGGAGGCGGCGGCGGAGGAGGTGGAGCTGGTCGGGGTGGCGCTGGGCAGAGGGTCGGCTCCGGTGGTGGTCAG